ACAGACACATGATTTTTTTATATTAACGTTGTTATTGGCTGTGAACTAGCCTTCAGTAAGGCTAAAATTAAAATATTGTTTGTTTGCAGTTTACCGACCGACCTTCGAAAATCCGCCCGACTGTGAAAATTTTATTGCTTTTAATTTGAAGAAATTATTTTTAATACTTCAATTGACTCGATCCGGAATTTCGGGTCGTTTCCGGAATTGATTTCGAGTCTAGGTCAATTACATGTTTGAAGTTCGGTTTTTCTTCCCTTCCTGTAAAGCGTTCATCGGACCTTTTAATGGTAAAGCACATGGAGATTGTTTACAGGTATCCACGAAGTCATGGAGGAGTACTTTATTTTGTCGTCTTCTGTCAATTTTAAGACAAATAATACACAGAAAAGTTTCATAGTAAACTGTTTATAATGATTCAGGCAGAATTGCACATGGAATGATGTCTTCGATGATATCATTGACGATGATGCAGTGGATATTCATAAAACCGACACGATAACCATTTCTGTCTCAAACAAATCGGATACAGAATCTTTTGAGACTGACTTTATGGAACCAATATCAGTGGTTCAATAATTCGACAGCATCTTGAAGTATGCCATATTTTCTTTAAATCCTCGTGAAGACGACAAAGAGGAAACAGACTCCTCCGTGACTTCATGGATAACTGTAAACACGCCTGTACGGTGGAAGGACGCATTTGAAATGTTAAATCAATAAGAAGCCACACAAACTACACAAAGATGTAGAGAAAATGAATGGTTGGCTTTAGAAATAAATATATTCTCTCTGTATCAAATCTATCTTCGATTGCAATGAGTATGCTCCTTTAGGATAAGGGGGGCTGTCCCACTCATTGCAATTATTCTCTCTCTTACAATATTAAATATACCCAAAATGTGTGGCCTGTGTGAATTGAATTGAAATATGTCCTTAGCTAGGAGCTATGCTGCCAATTTTTTATGCAGTCAAACATTTCAGTACAGACCATTTACTTTTAATGGGGTGCTATGGATTTCACCCTAAAGCTAGACTTAAGATTTTTGTTTGTTTTAATTAAAGCCTGGCATCAACATATCTTTCCAAATATAACCTTTATGTCAGATGTCTTATATATTTTTTTTTAAGTTGTCTTTTTTTTATAATTGAGGAAGATTCAATCTTTTTTTAACACACTCCTAAATTGTCTTTTGAATCTTTAATATCTACATTTTTCTGATGCAAATACTCTACTCATGAAAACTTCTAGTAAAGATGCATATATATGTCAGTGAATATGTTTCTTTACAACAATTCTAGTCATTCCTTGTTTATAAGTGTTCCAGTATTTCATAATACCATAAATTTATGTCATAAATTGTATAATGACACTATGTTAAGTTTCAGTTTTGGTTAAAAAGGTGTTAACCTGAAAATGCCTGTTCATTTCATGTTGGTTCTCAGTGTTTGTTGTTTTAAAATGTTTTTTTCTTCACAAGAAACTTGGTTTGTGTTAAACTACTTGTTTAAACTTTATTCTGGCTGATAAAATAAAATATTTTTCCTATCTACTGACCCTGCAGTCTGAAGGTACAGTCGGAAAACTGCAAACAAACATATTTTTAAGGTTGGCCTAACAGCGAGTACTCTCAGATTTGTATTTTGTGTCTTTTGTGTTTTTATTAGTTGTTTTTGGTCTTTGTATTGAGCTGATGAATAAAGCCCTTTTCAACTGATTTTTAAATTTTGTTCTTATACAGACCTGCCAACTATCCCGATTTATGGGGGATATCCCGAAAGTCTTTATATATATATACTGATCACCTCAAAACAGGCATTCATTAGACTAAAAGGGTATTTAAGCACATACATACTCATTCAAACAATATAGTATTAGATTAGATACACTTATGACAATATACATGTAAGAGGAACATTAGGTCCTCTTGCACTTAAAATCCCCAATGGAGATTTTGAAAAGTTGGCAGGTACATGTATGTCTTATATTGTGCTGTTGAACTACTGTCCAAGGTTAGGGGGGAGTTGGGAATAAACCCGCCACAAAAAGCCTGACATCCTGGCCAAACCTCCTATTTGTGTCAGAACAGCCAGGCGTAATGCAATCCATGTGACCACTTTTCAGCATTGAACAGGACTAAATTACTGCCCATGTGTGTGTTCTTTAAACATCCATTAATATTGGATCGTTAATTAACTGGTGATTCACCATGTTAATTAATAATGTTTGCATTCTGATTGCTATATTTTTCTGGAAGTTGCATTTTTTTTTTAAATTTTCTTAAATTGTGGCAATATAAATATTTTCTGACATGTGTCAAGAAATGATCCTATCCCACGATGCATCATTCTAACATCTAATAAACAAATACATGGAGATGTCGTTGTATTCCCCCTGGCTCTACTGTTGAGCAGTGAGCCAGGATCCCATGCTACACCACATTCTGTATGTATCTGTCCCTAGTTAGGAGCTGTAATTCAGTGGTTGTTGTTTGTTGCTGTACAGATCATATTTGTTTTTCATATATTGTTTTGTACATAAACCGTTAAGGCCATTAGTTTTCTTGTTTGAATTTTTTTACATTTGTCATTTCAGGGCCTTTCATAGCTTGCTGTGCGGTATGGGATTTGATCACTGTTGAAGGCCGTACTGTGACCTATAGTTGCTTACTTCTACATCATTTGGTCTTTGGTGGAGAGTTGTCTCATTGACAATTGTACAACATCTTCTTATTCTATACGGCAAATGTATTGGAACCTATTGATGATAGGATAGCAACCAATCTTTATTTGTCTCAAGCTCAGATTTCTGCTGGAGGCTGTAGTAATTGGGTTCCAATTTGCATTGACTTGAAGTTTGTCAGGTTTTCTTGTTCTTCCAAATCTGTGATACTTCTTTCTGTGGCCATGTTGTTTACATTTGTAAAATAAGATTAATATGGTCCTCCTTTAGAGTTCTCGAAAAAGGGGTGGTCTGAACACTAAAACTTTGGCGTTTTGCAATAGAAATTATAGTGAGGACCCACATATTTTCCTCAAGGATCACCAGGGAAAGAAAGATTTAAAAACTCTGCTCTTAGCCGAATTACCATTGCTCATAAGAAGAAATGACTTTTCTTTTTTAAACTAATAGGAAGAAATGGTGAGAACTAAAAGAGAAATGGTATTTCATTTGTAGCGCTTAAATGTTTGGTTTTTGCAATATATATATGTATATAAGTACAGGTTCCAGCCCTGGTCAGGGAGGAAGTAAAGAATCAGATCTACTCTAACATTGTTAGGTTGATTTTCTAGGCACTTTATATATATATATACAGTGTATATATAATATATATAAATTTAACAAATATAAGCAACTTAAATCAATAACAAAACCAATACATTTACATGAAAATATATAGTTAACTAAGGGGATCTAATCAATGTCTGTTAATGCATGTGGAATGTGTATATTGTATTCAATTTTTTTAGATACATGCATGTTTTGGTGCAAGACATTTCGGTCTTAGGACAACTAGCTATATATAGGACTGTCTACAATAAATGAAGACAACTCAGACCATCTATAATGCCAACTCAAAGTATAAGTAAAGACTTTTGACCATTTAATTGATTTAATGAGTGTCTGCGACAATAGAGACAATTCAGACTATGTGAATGATTAAATAACTTTACGTCATTTACATAATAAACATATGAGTAAAACCTAAGACATACTCTAGTGAAAAGTTTATCTCACAAAGTTCATACTTTAGAGGCAATTAAGTTAAACATGCTGATTTATTACATTTATATAAAATATAATTATATTTAATCATTTAAAAAAATAGAACCCTCTTTTAATCACTTTGAGTTTTTATTATAGACGGTAAAGTCTTATACAGTGCAAGTTTACTTATAAGTCGGTCCGAAATTGTCTTCGGGGCCGAGTTGTTCTATATTCCATGTGTTTTCTTTAATATTTACCAATTTAATATCTGCATAAGTACATGTATATTAAAACCTCAATACCATTAATATTAATATATTTTTGAGAGAAAAAATGGGTAAACCAACTCAGGGCATATCAACTGTTTCAGCCAGTCTTTTCTGCCATACTCACGCATACTGCCATTTCAGCCATATTTTGTAAAGTCATTTCAGTCATGGTTTTTATCGTTATAAAGGGAGGAATCATTAAAAACACATTTTAATAATCAATTTAAATTCATTGATAAAAATGTGTTTTAATCTAAGAATGTTATAAAAATATTTGTAGAAAGTTGATTTTTAATAAAAAGATATGATTGTTCATGAAAAGTGATGTATATAATATAACAAGATGTGATAATTATTAAAAAGTGAAGAAGATTGTTGTTCTTATCCTAATAATGACAATAAACCCTCTGATCATTTGTTAATTATCATACTTTGATCTACATGTATCTACATGTAAAGTATTAATAGACCCTTTGTGGTCTCTATTCTTTATACTAGTGTATGGTAAACAAAAACAAATCATATAAAAATAAGAGATTAGATATGCAGATGAAACAACTCATATCGTATGTCACACATATTTTTTAAATGATTAAATGTAATTATGCTGTCTTTGATCTCACTGATTGTCGTAATCATGTGTGACATACGAAGGTTGTGTGTCCTCTTGTCTCACAGCAGATGCTCACTTTATGGTCAAATTACATTTGTTATGTAAAATTCCTTTTCAACAATACAAACAGGTCATAAGAACAATATGAAAAAGTATGACGGAATCGAGTGTGGCCGAAATGACCTTTGGACGAACTGGTAGTGTGGCTGAAACGTCACGAAAGCATACCAACTCTATGGACCAACAGACCCAGGGCAAACATGTAGTTAATGCAAACAAGAAGCAAGACAACTTGCCCCACTCTTGTTTACCAAATGCAACTATTCATTCTTTAAACATTTAAAAGCAGCTACATCATGGCACATGAAAAAATGTATCTGGATGTCAGACTTTTTAATAAATTGCTTACCTGCATCTGCGGAATCCCCAATTCGACATTGGCTGTTTGCCTTAATTGAGACCACAACTTCAAAGCTTCTATCTGAATTCTAATTCCACCTAAAATTTTAGGGTCAACTGGTTCTTGCCTTGTGTCAGAGAAATATCCATCTGCAGAGAATAGTGCTTTGAAAGCCTCCTGTTCAAGTTTATTATTATAATTGTACACATCACGTTTTTTAGTACTATCAGATAAGACAAACGTCAAACTGGCTGTTATAAATATACAAAGACAAACTAAATATCTATTTTGATTACAGGTCGCCATGTTGAAAAAGATCTTGTTGACCTTTCAACAGACTATTTGAATGGTCATCTGTCAACATTTCTGAAATCCAAACAGATTATCATTACACTCGAACTTCGGAAAATTCACTTGTGTTTCATATCCATAACTAAACAGCATTGAATTCCCAAGCATAATGCAAAATATCAATAAAGTGTATTCGAGTGTATCGCTTTTTTTGTCATCACCAATCTTGCATGCTAATATGTAAAGCTAACCAAATACACAAAACAGCCGTCAGTTTCGTAAAATCCGAAACCGAGTGAAATAAATAGAAACTAGTTGTCCAATATGTCAGCCCCCATGTTGCAGTTTTTTTCTAAAAGATTTTGCAGCAAATGCTTCAAGATAGTGCAACCACAAAGAGTTCCTTCAATATTGAAACGTACAGAGCAGTTAAAAATGACAACCACTCACAAAATTTCCAGACAATTTCATGTCAGTGCAGGTAAGTTAATCTATGGGTGTTGCATAATCCTGTTAGTGTTAATGTTATCAACACAAGGGAGGAATTCTAGTCACTTCGGCAACTGGTTAAATCGGCACCCGTTATAGTCAATTCGGCACCTAGTCAAATCGGGACCTGGTTATTTCGGCACCCACAATTAAAATTATGTTTTGCAATAAACTATTGAAGACTGTTTTTTTTATGATATTTGTCTTGCCTGCGACTTTCGTCACGGTATGCGAGACATAGGTAATATGAGGCAGGCATTACCTGTGAAAGGGGACAAAGTCTGTATGAATTATTTTTTTTAATTCAAACATATTTTAACTTCAAAATCTGTTAAAAAAGAAACGGAAATACCGTAACGTTTCCGATTTTGGTTCTGTTGTTAGGGATTTTAGTTGTGACATTATTTAAGTTATGACGTCATATTCAATGTAAACAAAGAAACGCTATCATCAGGTAACGTTTTTTCATATCAAATAATTGTTAAAAATGAAATTGGTATTGTGTTCCTTCCTATATTTTACCAGACTGATAAATATACATTTTACTCAAAGTATCATGACAAACGACTGAAACGAGACTGGAAGAAGGAAGTAGATTTCTGCGCAAATGCGGGAAAATAAAAAAGTTAACGATTTTGAGTTCATTAGTAGAATGAAAATTTCGGGAAATTTTCCCGATTTTTTTTAATTTTTCTACCGTAATAGGGGACCTCGTCCCCTTATTACTATCCGGCGGCGACGTAAACTATTTGTATAAAGCTTCATATTTCAGAAGGTAGAAGACCTGGATGCTTAAGTTACGTGATTAGGTCCGATTCTCAGATACTACAAGCAGCAGGTCAACTATATGTGGTGTATGGAATGATTGTAAAGGGTACATTTTAGACTGACGGTTTTCATCTGACCTTGACCTCATTTTCATGGTTCATTGGTCATTGGTAATTTTTTGTGTTTTGATCTGTTTTTATACGCCCGTTTACGGGACGTATTATGGTATACCTCTGTCCGTCCGTCCGTCCGTCCGTCCGTCGTCAACATGTCGGACATTAATTCAAAAACGCTTTAACCAGTATGCATGTAACTTTAGTGAATTGTTTATATCTATTGACGTAAGCTCCCTTTCGTTTTTTATCAATTTCAGATTTACCATTTCCAAGCTTTGGGGTTTTATTCATTAAAAAAGGGGGGATTTTCCAGTTTTCGGACAATAACTCAAAAACAATTTCACCAATTTGCATGAAACTTTTTTAAATTGTTCATATCTATTGAAGTGAGCTCCCTTTTGTTTTTTATAAATTTCGGATTTACCGTTTCCGAGTTTTGGAGTTTTATTCATTAAAAAAGGGGGGATTTTCCAGTTTTCTGACAATAACTCAAAAAAAATTTCACCAATTTACATGAAACTTTTGTGAATTGTTCATATCTATTGACTTGAGCTCCCTTTTGTTTTTTATAAATTTTGGATTTACCGTTTCCGAGTTTTGGGGTTTTATTCATTAAAAAAGGGGGGATTTTCCAGTTTTCAGACAATAACTTAAAAACAATTTCAGCAATTTGCAAAAAACTTTGGTGAATTGTTTATTTCTATTGACATGAGCTCCCTTTTGATTTTTATAAATTTCAGACTATTTAGTTTCCGATTTATGGGGTTTTATTCATTACAAAAAGGGGATTTTCCAGTTTTCGTCAATAACTCAAAAATGCTTTCAGCATTTTTTATGAAACTTTGGTAAATTGTTTATATCTCTATTTTTGTAAGCTCCCTTTTGATTACTATAAATTTTCGATTTTACGTTTCCGAGTTATAAGATTTTATTTGTTTATAGTCTGACAACAGATTTACTAAGTATTGCGCATTGCACAACAGCAAGAAATCTTTCATATAACCAATTTCAAGTTCTTTGAATACATTTATTCAGAAACCTATAATATATCAAATATTTAATTACAATCCAAATTCAGACCTGTATCAAGCTTGAATATTGTGTCCTTTTTTGCCCCAACTGTTCAGGGTTGGAACTCTGCGGGCGTATCCAGCTGCGCTCAGCGAAGCAGTTTTATTCAAGTACTGTAAGCAATAGGTCAACTTTGTTTGGTGTATGGAATGATTGTAAGGGGTACATTACTGTCTAGCTGGTGTCATCTGACCTTGACCTCCTTTTCATGGTTCATTGGTCATTGTTAATTTTTGTTTTGGTCTGTTTTTCAAGTACTGTAAGCAATAGGTCAGCTATATTTGGTGTATGGAATGATTGTAAGGTGTACATGTCTGTCTAGCTGGTGTCATCTGACCTTGACCTCATTTTCATGGTTCATTGGTCAATGTTAAGTTTTTGTGTTTTGGTCTGTTTTTCAAGTACTGTAAGCAATAGGTCAACTATAGTTGGTGTATGGAACGATTGTAAGGTGTACATGTCTGTCTAGCCGGTATCATCTGACCTTGACCTCATTTCCATGGTTCATTGGTTAACATTAAGTTTTTGTGTTTTGGTCAGTTTTTCGATTACCATTAGCAATGGGTAAACTATGTTTCGTGTATGGAATAATTGTAAGGTGTACATGTCTGTGTGATAGTTTTTATCTGACCTTGACCTCATTGTCATGGATCTTTAAGAATGTTAAGTTTATGAGATACTTGTAGTAAAACCTTTATCTTTAAGACTTTCAACATAAAATCAATGGTCAGTAAAACAGGCAAGACACTTCAGTGTGTGCACTCTTGTTTGCGTAAATCAATATGTTAGGCCATGCAAAAATGATTGTTGGTTTCCCCTAACCCTGCCGGGTCTGTTTTTACCCTCCGTGTTAATTCTTTTTTTTTCTCTTTTTTTCTTTTTTTTTGCAGATGAAAAAAAAGAGTTGTTTTGGTTTCTATGGACAATTATCAATGATACTTTTTAAAATTGTCTGATAATCTTTTAAAAGTGTTTCAACATTGCTCAAATCTCCTTCCTTCATGATCAGTTTCACATAGATTATACCACAATATAGAATGTGAAACAAACATTAATTACAGGTTAACAACAACATTCTCTGTTGAACGAAACTGATTTTTCACAAACAAACAAAAAATAAATAAAAAGTTTTTCCTGCCTGCCGGGCCTTGATAATTTTCACATGTTAGGGGAAACCAACATTTATTTTTCAATGGCATTAATTGGGTGGGTTTTTTAAACCCCTGCCGTATGTCTGTACCCAAATTTTATGTTGAGACCCCCATGTCTCAGGCGCCAAGTTGTCCCATATTGGGAGAATGTCTTGAAACAAAAGTATTTGATTATTTATATACCTTATTGGAAAATAGAAATGTTCATGTTTGAATCAGATAATTATATAAATATAAGAAGATGCATATGGTAATACTGCTAACGAGGTAAATCTCCACCAGAGAACAAATGACATAGAAGTTAGCAACTATAGATCACCTTTAAGCCTAAAATTTGAAGACTTTTGCATAAAACTCTATGACAAGATCAGACATTGCCAGACTTTATTACTGTGACTTGACTGTTAGTGTTGGTCTTTACCTATTGCAGTTAATTCAAAATTTTGACCACATTGCTTTTTAGCTCACCTGGCCCACAGGGCCAAGTGATCTTTTTTCATCACTTGTCATCAGTCGTCTTCCGTCGCCGTCATCATCTGTTAACTTTTACAAAAATCATCTCCTCTGAAACTACTGGACCAAATTTAACCAAATTTGGCCACAATCATCATTTGGATATCTAGTTAAAAAAATGTGTCCGATGACCCCGTCTGACAACCAAGATGGCCGACATGGCTAAAAATAAAACATAGCGGTAAAATGCAAGTTTTGTCTATTATTTGAAAACTGTTATAAATAGAGAAAATCTGTCAGGGGCAGAAATGTTCAGAGTGTTGAGCTCTACCAATTGTCGATATACATCAAAAGTCTCAGGCGACTTTTTATAGGAGTTATTATAAAAAAATTAAATAGATAGATAGAAACTGAGATAAGCAAAAATGATCAGCAAGACAAGATCTGCAATTATGATGAATGGAGGAAATCGTCCGACAACTCCTTATTGGAGTTATTGCCCTTTAATGACAATTTTTACCAATTTTTTTTGCGTTTTGTCTTATATGATGAAAATTATAATAGACTCTTTAAATAACAAAAATGATCAGCAAGGCAAGATCTACTAACAAGTAAAATTTTGCTGATATAGCTAGTAGACTGTCACTCTTTATAAGAGTAATTGCCCATAAATGAGGATTTTATTTTACCCTCTTTGGTGTTTTAAGCAAAAACTAAGGAAGATAGAGAGAAAGACTAAACAGACTTAATGATCAGCAATACAAGATCAACAAAAAAGAGATTTTTATCATGAATTCTATTCTCATCTACAATGAGAGTGTCCTTTGTTTAATATGCACATAGACCAAGGTGAGCGACATAGGCTCTTTAGAGCCTCTATTTTTTTTTTATCAAACCAAACTGTTCAACTGGTCAGAAATTCTAACCAACTGCTGTAGAACACCAGTCATGTCAACAAAGTGCAAGGTGATAAAATAAAACATCCCAGTACTTTACGATCCTATAAGACTATTTTTCTACTAAATTGCTATTAAATGTAAATGAAGCTAAAAATTTCTAAACATATTGCTATTGTAAAGATTCATTCGAAAAGGTGAGTGGTAGTAATATGTATCTTCGAAAGTTTGAAAAGCAGATGTTGTGAAGTAATGAGTGTAAAGAAACTGAGGGCAAGTGAATTTCCATAGTTTTGATAGAAAAATTGTAGCATCATCACTTCTAAATGAGTCATTTTGATATTAACATCATCTGAAAAGCCTGAACAATAAATTATTCAGTCATGTTCAGTCTTTCAGTCAGTTTTCAGATTTACCCACTATGGTAAATTTAGAACTGTTCAGACAATTCGCTTGCAGTCAATTCAGTGCTGTTTATTAGCTTTCCAAACAATTCAGTAATATGTTTATGTATACAGGTAAATAACACTTCTAAACATAAGCTGAACAGATCTTAATTGACTGCAAGTGAATTGTCTGAATAATACTGAATTTACAACAGTTGATAAGCCCGAAAAACTGAAAGACGGAAAATAACTGAATGATTTTGATATTGTTCAGTCTTTTGATAGCAGTTCAGATCAAAATGACCATTTCAGATCAAAATTAGTTTACTAGTGCATTGAACCCTGCTATAACAACGCATAAAGTTTATTTTAAGATAATCTTAAGTCATAAAATATCAAGTATTTACCAAAAAGTCACAGGAAAAAAGTTGCAATTGTATTAACTGTATTCCAGTGAAACAGTCACAATTATAATTTACTATACACACTAAGTAAACATTAAAACTATAATCACTGATAATATATGATATACATGTGAAAAAAGTCTCTAATAATAATTTTTTGTTATGTATAGCTGTAAAGATGGAATTTGAACTACAATGTAGGTAGCATCTTGTTTGCCCTGGGGTTTTTTTTCGAAAAAAGTAACCAGCAAAAAATGTGTGTGACCCAAACTTTTTTGAGTAATAGAACAGTATAAAATTTTCATTATAGGGCCATTACGACATGGTGATTATGAATATCAAGATCCAAAATCAGAAGATGAAGTGTAAGTAAAGTAATAATAATTATACATGATAAAGCATCAAGGTAATAGTCAATTTTAAAGTAAACAACTTTGTCTCCAATATATATGTAACACTCCCAAACGTGTCCATCCCCCAAAACATGTCGATACCCCCAAACGTGTCTATTCCGCCCAAACGTGTCCTTCAAATCATAAATCGCCCAAACATGTCCGATTTCACATCCCCAAACGTGTCCGATCATTGTTATTCGCCAAAACGTGTCCAGATAAAAACGCCAAAACGTCTCAAAACTCTTAGCGCCAATGTAACTCCGTGAAGTCAAAAACGTTTACGGCAATTCAATGGCGTGGGATACGATAAAATACTTCGGGTTCAGTTTGATTCTTAAAAAATCAAAGTAGCTACCCAATGAAATCTGGAGGAAAGTTTAGTAATCCGTATCGACAAATGTCCAAGACAAGCTACACTGTGCACAGTCATTTCTGCTTTCATATAAATAGACATCACGTTAAAAAAGACTCCCACAATAAAAAGATATTTTTTACTTGCAGCAGTTTTAATAATTTTTTATAGAAAGTTCAAATAATTTTAATTTCACAATTAAAAATTTAATACATTTTATCTTGTAAATTTTGTTGATGGGAGTTTTTAACGACCTTCACTGGCTATACAGCCATCGCAAGGTCCGTAAATTTTCACTGTGCTTCACTGTTAATAAAGTGGTAATTTATTAGCATGAATTTGTTTAACGCCAGTTATTATTAGCTCACCTGGCCCAAAGGGCCAAGTGAGCTTTTCTCATCACTTAGGGTCAGGTGTCCGTCGTCCGTCGTCGTCGTCGTCGACGTTAGCTTTTTACAAAAATCTTCTCCTCTGAAACCACTGGGCCAAATTTAACCAAACTTGGCCACAATCATCATGACCCCGCCAACCAACAAAGATGGCCGCCATGGCTAAAAATAGAACATAGGGGTAAAATTTAGATTTTGGCTTATATCTCTGAAACCAAAGCATTTAGAGTAAATCTGATATAGGATAAAACTGATTATCAGGTCAAGATCTATCTGCCCTGAAATTTTCAGACAAATCTGACAACCTGTTGTTGGGTTGCTGCCCCTGAATTGGTAATTTTAAGGAAATTTTGCAGTTTTTGGTTATTACCTTGAATATTATTATAGATAGAGATAAACTGTAAACAGCAATAATGTTCAGCAAAGTAAGATCTACAAATAAGTTGTCATGACCAAAATTGTCAGTCGTCACCTTTAGGAGATTTGCCCTTAATAGTCAATTTTAAACAATTTTTTGTAAATTTTTGTAATCTTTTACAAAAATCTTCTTCTCTGAAACTACATAGACAAATTTAACCATACTTGGCCATAATCATTATTAGGGTATCTAGTTCAAAAAATTTGTCCGATGACCCCGCCTTCCAACCATCATGGCGGACTTGGTTAAAAATAGAACATAGGGGTAAAATGCAGTTTTTGGTTTATATCTCTGAAGCTAAAGCATTTAGAGCAAATCTGACAGGTGGCAAAAATTTTCATCAGATTAAGATTTATCTGCCCTGAAATTTTCAGATGAATCCGACAACCCGTTGTTGGGTTGCTGCCCCTGAGTTAGTAATTTTACAAAAATTTTGCAGTTTTTTGTTATTATCTTAGATATCATTATAACATCTAATATCTAATACTATTAATTATGATTTTAACCTTATTTTACATGATTTCCAAAGCATCAGTAAATACAGGTGAGCGACACAGGCTCTTGAGAGCCTCTAGTTTTATTAAGCATAATTGCAAGCTAAATTTGCAACACATACTTAACTATTGAATGTTGATTGCTTAATGTCCAGTGGCAAATATGTCATGCGTAATTAGAAAAAAACATAAACATTGCAATTTATTAGTTTTGTAGTTTGAATAATTGTTTACTAAGTGGATTATATTTTACTAATATTCTCCGATTATACCTAAATGTCTATATAATGTATGAGGGTATTGCACGACCTGCTTCATGCAGAATTGGTTTCTGTGCTTTTAAAAGAGAGACTTTACGGTTTCATATAAACCGGACACGTTTGGCCTTTTTTAATTAAACGGACACAATTGGGGGCTTATAAACAGAACAAGTTTTGGCGCCCTTTAGCAACAAGACATGTTTTGCAGTTCAGCGACGTCATATGGACACGTTTGGGGGAATCGGACACGTTTGGGGGGATGGACACGTTTCTGAGTGTTACATATATTTATAGAGGAAACAACTCCTAGATGGGTTAAACTTTGTTCCCTGTCAATGCAAACCTAATCTAAAGAGCATGTTTTGGATGAACAATGAACTTAATCTGTAAAAAAAAATCATTCTGTAACCACATATTTGTAAATCCCATTTATACCTTAATAAGTGATGAACTTATGAAGTTAAAGTTATTGTCAGATCCAACATAATAAACCATGCTTTGTATAGAAAGGGAAGCAGTTTGCCCAACTTAAGAGTTATTTCTCTTTGCAAAAATTCTAAAATTGGAAAAAAAGACAGTTATTTGAAAAAGTACTTTTCCTGAAGGCAAAAAAGACAAAATTAAATAAAAGGCAACCTTAAAACAAATTAAACAAAAGGCATCTGAAGTTTAACCTATTGTCGCTTGAAAACTTAAATAGAGCAAAAGCAGGAATTGAAATAAAAAAGCAGTGCCATGTAGTTTGCATTGTGCTATTGACTGGGTTAAAGGAATGTGTATCTTTATTCAATGCACTGTAACGGAGGGTTAATTAGAAATCGATAATCAACCATAATAAAGAAATACATACAAACATATAATTAAAATTGCAATGTTCAACGAATGTTGGGTAGAAGCTCAAATAGTTTGGCACATACTGGTATACTTAATAAGTAAAGGGTTCATGTTCACCTTCAAAAGCCTATTCAGAAACACTTGACATCACATGCTATCACATTCTTTGAATCATTTAATCATCTATTATTGAACTTCTTTGGATTGTCTAGTTTCCTTCAACAATATTATTACTGCCGAAGGTCAGTGGTTCTCTCCGGTTATTACGGCTTCCTCCAATAATAAAAACTTGGCGCCACATTATAGCCAATGGTGCTGAAAGTTTCATAAAAAACCCATCAATCAATCAATCAATTCATGACAACAATATTATCATTCTAATGCATACAAATTTCATGAAGCTATCACGCAAACATTTGAAAAGATTAAATCAGAAAAAAGTTGGTGCATTTTTAAATTGCAACTGGCGAACTACATCATGTTATTATTTTTCAGTGTAAATATTACTTATATAGATAGAAATGGAGTAAGAAAACCAGTCAGAGGAAAAGTTGGTGATAATCTGATGTATTTAGCTCACAGATATGACATAGAGTTAGAAGGTAAATAAAACTAATGCCCATCAGAAGAATGTAGAAATACCACTATGACCCTATTGTATTGTTAGTCATAGTGTTGGATCATTTGAGTGATCAGTTATTTTTTGCTCAGATGACTTGTTAAGTTTGTGGCTCCAACATGTTGAAATCTGACCTGCAACATGGGGGGTGGTTTTGCAGGAGACCTTACCACCTGACTTATCATTTAAAAGGACCTGTGGCCTTTAAATATTTTTTAGTTGTTTGTAGCATCCTCAAAATGTTTTGAAACCATAACCTAGTATGCAATCATGATGTATATTTACGGTGCTCTGGAATCACCTGACATTGTCTTATCAAATCTTACTGTGTTTAACTTGTTTAATTAATTAGATGTATTTGAAGCATCCTTAACATGTTTTAAAACCATGACCTAGTATACAATCATGCCATGGTGTCTATTATGGTCATTGGAAAAACACCTGTACCAGTCAAATTACGATCTATGTTGCCATTTAAATTGATATATTAGCCTAGAAAATAGATATTTAGCCTTGAGAATTGAAATGTCAGTTTACGCTATTCAAACAATAGGAGTTGATAGATTTGGCATGGATTGCATAAACTTACCTTTCAATTCTCAAGGCTAAAAATCTATTTTCTAGATTAATATACCATTTTAAATGACCATAAAGGTGCTTGTGAATAAGTGAACATGTTTATTCAAAGATTATTATGTTTAATCATTTTTTGTTTTAAAGGTGAATTTGAAGCAGCATCAACATGGTTTTATATTGCGACATTAATGTTCAATAATTTTTTATTAGTTAAGGCAACTATGAAACATCATCAACATGGTTTTAAATTATGATTATGATATTTAACCCTGTTTTATATTTCAGGTGCCTGTGAAGCATCACTAGCTTGTTCAACATGTCATGTTTATGTACATAACAATTACTTTGATAAGTTACAAGAGCCTGAAGAAGAGTAGGTTTTCTGTAATATAAGCATAAGATGACTGTATTACTTGTACAGCAATCTTAAATAATTGTGAATAGCATAACTATATTTTAAAAGCACATGATATTACCCACATAAACTTCTTAGGTTTACCAAAAGATGGTCTGTTTAGACTTTATTGTATCCAATATGGATTAAGAGTGTTTTAATATATTCTTATTTAGTATAAAACCAAACCTATCTTTTTAGTATCCAAAGAAGTTTACAGTGGAATCCCCCTTTGTCCACTCAGCCACTGATATTGTGCAGTACCAGATTTCATCACATCAGCAATGTAACATAAATAGAATTGTTCTTGTAGTTGTTTCGGTCTTTCAATGGGGATTAAAGGTTAAAACTGATAAATTAAAATATATAGTTGCAATCCCATATTTAACCATTTTCCATTAAAATCAATGATATCTTCAGATAAAATTGTTTCATATGAAGGCAAATTTTGATAAAATAAAATACACATAACTTTTTCTTCACATCTTTCTTTTATTCAAAATTAACCTTTTTGAGAAGTTATGCACGAAATCACAGGACATGAGAAGAACCGTCAATTTTGGAAACACATTTCAAAAAATATTATCTGATACTAGTAATTATTTTTATGGGTTTACTAAAGCATAGCCAAAAGTCTTAGGTGCGTGGAAACACCTGACTGCTCTGTATATCAAAATTGAAAAATTTAAAAAGCACTGATGAAATCTCTATGATATATTGTTGAAGTTTTGACTAGAAATTTGTCTTTTTCTTGATTTTAATAATTTTTTTACAGAGAAGAAGATATGTTAGACATGGCTGTGTTTTTAAAGGAGAATTCTAGATTAGGTGTGTATAAATAGAAACAATGTTGAGAAACTGTTACATTACCATTCAAGGTTAACAGCAGAACGTGAGATCATTTGATTATTATAAATGAAAGGTCTTTAAAGATAGAAATACAGTGTTTTAAGAAAATGAGTAGCAAAATTCTCAAATGAAAAAAATATTCAATCTTTGCACCACAATTCAGATTTCTAATCAGAAACTAAGTGTCAAATTTTTAAGAGTACATTATTCAACATTTCAAAATCAGCACAGTAAAAGAACGTGAAACACAGTATGGTATGAAGTTTATGTAATTTGAAGAGCTTTTTGCAATCCCAAAAACGAAAATATAAATAGACGAGTGACATTAACCATAAAATCATATTTTTAATGCACCCACCTAACATACAGCTAAATGATATACCATTCGAAAGCATATCATCTGCCCTATCTATTTTGCCTGGTCGTCAAATATTCGTATGGTGCAATTTCCGTGAAATCACAATGAAAGGTCAAGGTCGCATACTTTCTTATTTAACAAGATGTCAGCATTTTTGCATACTCTGTCTTCTGAACAATAATATTTTGTATGGAAATATGAAAATCTGTTAGAACAGATGTTAACAGTTACTTATCGAACGCACTTAAAAATATTAGTGACGGATTTTTAATAAATAGCGCCGTTTTCCTGAAATTCCAGTAAAAATGATAAAATTGCGTTGAAATCAAAATTTTTGTCTGTTATTCATTTGTAATTCACCATAGAACCAAATAACATATTCTATTTAGTGCTTAGGAAGTTTTTGACATCATCAAATTACTACAAATACCTTTCATGATAATTAAACAGCCAATTATAACAACTCGTGCAGTTGCCCAAAATACCACCATCTGCAAAAAGATAGCTTTTTTGCTGTTCTATGTTAACAAAATTTGTATGTACCAATCTTTTAAAGCTAATTAATTTCTTGAAATACATGTAAATTGACACATACTGCAAATCTATTTTTTTTTGAAAATTCTAGCAGTTCACTATAAGTACACTGTAGTGTAAAGATGAATTATTGATTGATAACTCCACTTTCGGCACTACTGGCTACTAAATAAAATTGAGACCGAAAATTGGGAATGTGTTAACAATACAACAACCCGACAAAAAAGCAGAAAACAGACCAAGGCCACCAATGGGTCTCCAACACAGCGAAAAAATCATGTACCCGGAATCAGTCTTCAGCTGGCCCCTGAAAAAAAAAAGTGTACTAGTTTAGTGAAAACGGACGCCACACTAAACTCCGAAACATATAAATGAACTAAAATTAAATATTAAGATTAACAAAGGCCAGAGGCTCCTGACTTAGGACAGGCGCAAAAATGTGGAGGGGTTAAACATGTTTTGTGAAATCTCAACCATTCTCTTTACCTCTAGCAAATGAAGACTAAAAAAACACACATCAATACGCACAGTAAAACTCAGTTAAAAAGAAGTCCGAGTCCGATGTCAGAATAGGTAACTGATGAAATTAGCAAAATGATGGTGATACATAAATTAACAAAGGACTACAGCAGTATTACTGACATGCCAGCTCCAGACCTCATATATCTTCATCATAATTACACAGTATTTTGTGGCGATCAGTTTATATTGGAGGCGGAAGACGGAGTGCTCTATGAGATCAACCGACCTTCAGCAGAAAGCTGACAATCCCAGTCAATTAAACTTTAACTATATTTATTAGTATGAATGACGAAATTACTGTGTAGGTGTCACCCAAATATTCAACCAATCATCATCAATGGCCTTTTGTTAAAGTAGGCAACCTCTAATCAAACAAAGCAGTTTTGATGTAGATGTTGTAAATTACTACAACTGCATGTTGCAAGTAAATTTTCTTAATAAAAACTGATATATGAATATGCATTTAAACCAGTTTTATTCTAAATTCAATTGCCTATGGTTTTGCATTTAAATCTAATTGTAACTGTACCACAGAATATTCTCATTTAAGACATCAGAAAACAAGAGCGCCGTTTCATACAAGTGATAGGTTTTGCTTGTTATGGTATAAGACCACTAATTCATAGCCCCATTGCTTTCTATGTTAAATTCTGCAATTTCAAGCATAAATGGCTACTTTGTCTTAAGTTCAAATAAAGTGGCAGTTATTTCATGTCAAAACTGTACCTTATGCTGACTTGTGCTGAAAAAATCAACATACCTTTAATTGCATATTAGAGCGTACTGGTTCCCTGAAGTTTGATAGTACAAAAACAGGAACTTCTGATCTGAACAACAGGCCAAATGAGCCCTCCTATTCAAATTTCATATACTTCTTTATTATTCAAATAAAACTTTCAACAAGGGTGCTACAGTGATCCCAAGTCCCCAAGCTTTCATTTGATACTAAAACTACCCAAATATTCCCACTATTGACAAAGATTTAGCTATGCGTAGGAACTATTTTGTTTAAAATATGTACTACTTTCTTGTATGTTCTTTCCGACCGGGTCTGAATTAGTGGTTCTATACCTATAACAGCACCAAACTTGTCATATTGACTTCTGCTTGGCTTAATTTCCTTCTATGATCTATTTCTAGCATAGAAAAACACGTAAAGCTTTTGTCAAAACACTATATCACTGAATTCAAGCTCAAATTGGACTGGTAGTAACATATGCGTTAAACAAAGAAAACTACATATGGATACTAATAGTGACAGATATGACACTTTTTCAATTTTTACAAGTTCTGATTTGTTAATATCTACTCAAATAACAGTGTTCTTACCTATATGTCTTATTTTTATCAGAGATTCTTCCTTGAGTATAAATACAGTGGTCCAAACATAAAATATAATTGATAATTTTTTCCCCCCTTTTTTCTACATGTTGGAAAAGGAGAGTGATTTGATAAAAAAAAACATACTTTTATGTATGAACATGAATCAACAAGAACAATTTATGTATCTCCAAGCTAGACAACTTGCTAAAATGGTTATAAAATGCATTTCAAGTGAGATTTTGGAATTCCTATATAAGTATACACCAATTTTCCTTGAAATAAATAATTCACCAAGAAACACAATAAAACATGAACAGTCACTAGATAATTTGACTAAAAACAATATTTATACAATAAACTAGTCATAATATATAAGTTTCATTGGTTTCAGAGTTAGATAATCCAAAAATTTAAATTTCAGGTAAAATCTTAACTGTGTATGCCAAATGACCAAAAAAGGCTAAAATACCTTATTGTAGCAATTTGAGGGCTGTAATTTGACACTAACATAATTGTTACACAAAAAAAATAATGTAACATGATTTCTGACAACAAATGTGACCAATTTTCACTGTAAAGAGTATGATTTCTAAAAATAGAATTTCACATGCCTGTCAGTAATAGGTATAAGACCACTAATTCATAGCCCCATTGCTTTCTATGTTAAATTCTGCAATTTCAAGCATAAATGGCTACTTTGTCTTAAGTTCAAATAAAGTGGCAGTTATTTCATAACAAAACTGTACCTTATGCTGACTTGTGCTGAAAGAATCAACATACCTTTAATTGCATATTAGAGCGTACTGGTTCCCTGAAGTTTGATAGTACAAAAACAGGAACTTCTGATCTGAACAACAGGCCAAATGAGCCCTCCTATTCAAATTTCATATACTTCTTTATTATTCAAATAAAACTTTCAACAAGGGTGCTACAGTGATCCCAAGTCCCCAAGCTTTCATTTGATACTAAAACTACCCAAATATTCCCACTATTGACAAAGATTTAGCTATGCGTAGGAACTATTTTGTTTAAAATATGTACTACTTTCTTGTATGTTCTTTCCGACCGGGTCTGAATTAGTGATTCTATACCTTATAAAGCCAGGTTTAATGCACCATTTTATACGCAAGAAAATGTAGTATCAAGTCAGGAATATGGCAGTTGCTTTCCATTTCTGTTATATGTGTTTGAGCTTTTAATTTTTCCATTTTATATAGGACTTTCAGTTCTGAATTTCCCTTGAAGTACGGTATTTTTGTTATTTACTTTTTAGTAGATCATCTGTCATGCATTGCTTATACATTGGCATATATAAGAATGAGGCAGTCTAAAACTATAGTCATCATTTTTCATGCATAGGTTTCATATCAATAATAAGTGATATTAGTTGACGTGAAAAAAAACATACCAAGAGGTATGCATAAGTGTAAATAACATGGGTTAAAACAATCTGTTTAAAATTCAGATATGTTGCAACTCGCATGTTATCAAATGAGGATAACGAAATCAGAGATCCATATAGTAATTAGATTGTGTTAAGATAAGATTATGAGATGTAATGGTACATTTGATTTGCTTACTATTTAACTATTTTTTTATCATGGAAAAAATCCCTTCATGTACAATCTCCATATGTGCACTTTAAAGACAAACTGACGTAGGGACGCAAGGTTTATATCTTACATCGATATCTGATCTAGCTGGTTTTCAATTTAAAAAAACAGATAACACATGAACAAAGCAAAAAAGTCGGACAAACAAACTACACTCTTTAAAACACTACACCGAAATGTGCGAACACTACCTAACACCTGTGGTAAATGCATTTGCTCAGTAAGAATATATTCAATCTTCCACAATATTAATTCTCTATCATATTTAGTAAAACAACTAATAACATATGTAATAATGAGCTAACATTTAAAAGAATCAGCCGGATTTGTGATTGAAAAGGCGCATTGTGCGAACAGTATTCGTTTGAATATTGATTGAGAATAAACTTCGCCTTTCAACATCGCAAACACATTTTTACTATATATACCTTTTTTATTCATTAAAGGACTTTCATTACCCCTTTTCAAATATGGTTAATCATTTTCTTCCGATATTTACTATATTATCTAGCCAAAGAAAAGCCAAATGATCCATATTTGAAGATTGTGTTTTTATAGGGCAACTGCAAAAGTTTCATTAGAAGGCTGCATCTAGACCTATATCTTATTAATTAAGTTTATAATCTATAAACGATAAATTAGTTATATTTTTGACATAGAGATATTGATACCTGAAGAAATATTTAGCTTTTAGTGCAATTTTATCATTTTTGGAAGTTTTTTTTAAGAAATGCAATTTTATGTAAATATTGCGCAATTAACATTTTAGTTTGCATTTGATTTGGAATTATGGTTTTTTGTTTTATAAGATTCAGACAATGTTTAGATGAAAAATATACAGGTACCAGAAAAGGGCATTTTGTTTAATTCTATCAAAATTTTTTGAATATTCATATTTGACCTTTAACCTTGATTTAACAAAAAATGCACCGTACGAATTATTGACGACCGGGTAAAATAGAAAGTACAGGTAATAAGCTTTCGAATGATATACAATATAGCCGTATGTTAGGTGGGTGCATTAAAGTCGTTAACTAAGCGTCTTTTTGAAAAATGTCACTCGCCTAAAAAGGATGAAGAAATAAAAACTTTCCGTCTGTTCTCCTCTTTAACCATGAACTTGGATGAGAGATGCAGACATTAAAATGAGGCCTTATTGCATATGATTGAGAAACTTAGTGACATGAAATTTTGAAGGCACTCCAATGATCAACGTTTAGAGTATAGGGTTTTGCACAAGCAGACAACAAGACCTAACAAAAGTCAATCGCACTACAATGTACATGTAAATTTTATAGGTTAAAAAACTGTTTTGAATTTCAGGTTGTCAGATTATATTAAACAAAGAATTGGAAGGTTTAGAAGTAACATTACCTCAGGCTACAAGGAACTTTTATGTAGACGGACATGTACCTCAGCCTCACTGATATCAAGTCTTTGTGATAGTCAAAGCTTTTATCTCATATTGGAATCATTTTGTGACTTTCACTTCAACCAACAGTAAATGATTAGAATTGCATAGAGCTCTACCAAGAAAAGTCTGACATCTTTATGGAGAGGGAGAAACTAAAGACAACAACATTATAACATAATGAATTTTTGTAATGTTAAATTTATTTTGAATATTACTGGGAAGATGGAGTGATATTTACATTGTGAAATATTAACAAATAAGATATATTTAAACATAAAAATTCCTTATTGTATTTCTGTGGTTAGCTCATCAGAAAATGTTGCATCAAGGCTATTTTTGCTCTCAAATTTGACTTAATCATGTATTTGAAATCACATGACATTTTTCACTGGAGGCTTGTGCTTCACATAGAATTAAAAAAAAAATCTTTCATTTCATGCTCCATGCATATCTAAACATATAATGTGATTCCTCAGATACCCTCCAACCCTTATACATAGAACCACCAATAGCTGTAAATTGACCCTTATAAGGGTTGCTTCTCATGGCTGTGTGTGTCATCCAAGGGCATGGACACCATGGACATAGTTTTTACATGTGACGTTATAAGGAGCTTCACTTTATTGAAACAATTTCTCTTCTGAAACCACATGTGAAAAAGTTCATAAGGTATATGTAGATTTGCCTTCATTTTTATTGAGACTAAAAGTTAAATCAGTCAGATTTTAAGACATCAATACACTTATTATAATGGAAAAGAATATGGTGTATTGATTCATGACACAAAATCCCAAAATGCACATGAAATGATAAAAGGCAAAGGAATAGAGATTTAATTGCTGTTCTTGATTAAAATCGTAGAGAAAGATTTGAAGACTCTTTTCACCATCAAACAAATACTCAGATCATTACCGGTACTATGAACCAGACATAGGGATCGGTTTAATGAAAATATAAAAAAAAAAAAATTTCACAGGAGATGTGTTTAAAACAACCGTTTCTTCCCAGAATTGTACCTTAGGAACAATTTTGCCAAGCAATTCGGCCATCAGCATTACTGTAAATAAAAACTTTTTGCAGGGTAAAAAAATCCTTGAATAGGATGTATTTGACCAGTTTATGAAAATTTTGTCTGGAAATTATCTTGAGATAAAATGTGTTCATCCTACCTCACAATCAAAATGTCCCCCAATGTTTGGAACAAAATAATTGATATCAGTATGAGCAGATTGCAGCTGTAATATTTTGTAATTTAAAGGTATTGTTAACTCTTTAACTCAAGATTTGTTTTGTCATAACACATTTCTGGAATGTGTTTCTAACTGCACTCTGTGCAGAAAATATGTCAAGACAAATCCATATAAATGAATCAGAGCATTTAAATCTAAAACATGTTTAATAGAGCATCCCAAACCATGAAAGGACACTCATGAAATTAACCTGATTTTCCTAAGCTTTTTCTATGAGGCTTAAATTTTATGTGAGTAATGATAGTACATTGAATTTTAGTTTGCTTGTTGGTAATAAAGAGGAACTTTTTGATTGGTAATTTAACTATCATTTGTCACTGTCTGCCAATCAAATCGCATATCAGATAATGATGCCTATAGATCTAGTCTCATCATTTATATGTTTGTGTATTTACCATACCTAATGAAAAAAATCATGTATAGTTTACAAACAAATGAATTTGATTTCATCGATATCAAGACTTAAGTACCATATATTTCTTTCTTAGTTTATTTATGACATTTCTACATTTATGATGGAATATTAGTTTCACAAAAGAAGCATTTATGTTTTGTGAGATCTGAAGTTCTTAACTTTTATTATTCAGGATTTGTTTACATTATGTTAATTTATTGATTCACATTTAATATATCAATTTCTAGATTATGATTTTATATTACTTTGATTCATGTTTGAGAATGTGAGTTCTAACCCTATTTATGGGGAGGTGTGTACGACTTCTTACTTCACATCGATATTACCTCTGTGCACATAATCACAGGAACATGTCTCTGTGAAGAAATTTTTTTACCTATATCCCGTAATAAGGTATACAGGGGAAACCAAACAGAGGCAAGTGGCTGTGAAGCTAATCTATCAATCTAGTGCTAAGAAAGAACAAAAATTTGTCAACTACATAATGTTCATGTAGATGTCACATGCTATCAATGGTAACCTCTTTTGCACCTGATAGATAAAACTATAAATGACATTTTTGTGATTGATTTTTTGACTATATTTATGTGTTTGCAGTTAAATATTTGTGATATCAAAATTAGTTTGAATGTTATATGTTATGAAGACAATTAATAAAAGTAAACAATAATTTATGTCGTTTTTGGCTTTGATACACAAAGATTAATTGACATACAATGTATAGAAATGGCCCATTCATTTGTTAATTCCCATAATTTTATGTCCTGACCAAAACATTAAGAAAATCTCTGCTCTATTGATAGACTGCTACTTAATTTCTATCCACAAATATTACATTCATATTCAGCACAAAATCATATCAATGACATATTATATACCCTACATTGTACTAGACCAACAAGCTTGAGTTTTAACAATAGTAGCTTGCAAGGTCATAGCAAAGAGGAAGGCATGTCGCCCTACTAAGACCATTGTTAAGTTTCTGCTTTGACCAGTCTTGGTTCTTACTTTTTATACAGCCGCAAAAAAATTTGCGGTTGTATATTGGTATCACTTTGTCATCTTGTCAGCGTCGTCCAAAGACAGTTGGTTTCCGGACAATAACTTCAGTATAATTAAATAGAGGGAAAAAATTTTTTGGGGGAAAAGGGGGGGGGGGGGGAAAGAAATTGTTGGGGGGTCAATTTTTTCTCATTTTGCAACAGCAAAAGGTATTGCACAAAAGCAAAAAATTGAATATAAATTCAAATCATATAACCAATTCCAAGTTCTTTGACTACAGTTATTCTGTGTGAGAAACCTATTATGTGTCAAATATTTAATTACAATCCAAATTCAGACCTGTATCAAGCGCGAATATTGTGTCCATTTTTGCCCCAACTGTTCAGGGTTGGACCTCTGCGGTCGTATCCAGCTGCGCTCGGCGAAGCAATTTATTTTAAAATCTTATTGTGGAAAATTAGTAAATTCCAATTTTGAAATCTTTGGTTTGACCCAGCTGTTGATAGAACCCATAATCTCACATTCCAGGCAAGCATGTTGCCACAAGACCACCTAGGCAGTATATTGCATGAATGAAGTCATATATCATGATTGTCGCTCTTAACCAAAAGTTGTAATTCGTGTGTTTACTAAACAAAGGTCCTGTCTACCTCGTATGGATAGCTGGTAAATATATTGAAAACATTGTGTCATTTCTAAATACCTTGTAATGTTTGATCAAGTCCTGTCCATTTTAAAAGTTCATATCCATTTCACATCAGTGTTTGATACATTTACATTATTGGAAAGTACATAATTTATTTGTACTAGTCTTAGAAATGGAGAAAAAAACTAGACATGGAAGCTTTTCTTGGCAAGTATTTTTTACTTACATGGCCAAATTGAAAAGTAAATACTGGTACTTGGGTGTCAATTATTTTTTATTTTTAGGGGTTTATGCTTTGTAAAAATTTATCAAAGATGAAGGGGGGGGGGGGGGGGGAAATAATGGTGAGAACATAAAGTCTATGTTCTTTTATTAGAACAAGAGTGCACATTCTTAAATGTCTCAGACTATACAGATAAGATTGAATTTATGTTGAAAGTCATTGAAATAAGGTTTTACTATAAATATCATTATCAATGATCTATCTTAATGAGGTCAAGGTCAGATGAACCTTACCAGAATGACAAATACATGTAAACATTACAATCATTCCATGCACCAATTATAGTTGGTCTATTGCATTTAGAATCTTAGAAAACTACCTTATCACGAAAAATTTATACACTGACCAGTAAACCAAAATATGAGGTCAAGATCAGATGACATCTCCTAAGCCAACATGTACACCTTGCAATCAGTCAATACACTAAATATAGTTGACCCTTTTCTTATTGTATCTGAGAAACAGACCAAACTAAGAAAACTTACCACTGACTACTGAACCATGAAAATGAGGTCAAGGGCAGATATGTACACCTTACAATAATTCTATATACCAAATTTAGTTGACTTGTTGCTTATAGTATAAGAGAAATGAACCCAACAAGAAAAAAAAGTTAACAGCAAACAATGTGCCATCAAAGTGATGGCAATAAAATTGAGCATGAAAATGGGGAATATGACATAGAGACAACAACATGACCAAAGAGCAGAAAACAGCCGAAGGCCACCAATGGGTCTTCAACACAGCAAGAAAATCCTACACCTGGAGGCGGGCTTCAGCTGGCCCCTAAATAAAATTGTGGCAGGGTTAAACATGTTTTGCGAGATCTCAACCCTCACCCTATACCTCTAGCCAATGTAGAATAAACAAACACACAGCAATACGCACAGTAAAACTCAGTTTAAAAGAAGTCTGAGTCCCATGTCAGAATAGGTAACAAAAGAAACTAAGCAAAATGACAATGATACATAAATTAACAAAGGACTACTAGCAGTTACTGACATGCCAGCTCCAGACTTCAATTAAACTGATTGAAAGATTATGTCTTCATCATATGAAAATCAAGCACAATCCCTCCCGTTAGGGGTTTAGTATCATACCATCATAAAATATATGAGAAGAATATAACCTGTATCATGCCGACAACTGGTTTTAGAACAAATGTGTTTATTTCCAATGCAAAGACCCTATGAGTGAATCAATATTAATACCAAAAATAGCATTCTATATTGGTACAGAAGTGAAAAAGTATGTTTTTAAATTTCCTTTGAATGGGGTGCATGTGTTTCCGAGCCAAATTATACCACATTACTGAAAACTATTTTGATGTTGTCCTAATATAGACTATTTGTTGTTGCCTGTGAAATGTATAAAACTTGTGAAGCAAATTAGGAAAAATTGACTCTAGACAGGTTTGGATGTTCTGTATAGGCCCTTTTGGGTTTTCTGCTTTGAAAGATTTCAATTATCAACTTTCCATGTTTTTGGTAACTCAAATTTTATTCTAGAACTATTTCATATACAATGAATTGGTATTGTAAAAGAGAGGTGAAAGATACCAAAGGGACATTCAAAGTCGAAAATAAACTGACCATGGCTAAAAAAGAAAAAGACCAGCAAACAATAGTACATAAAACACAAAATAGAAAACTAAACACTGAGCAACACGAACCCCACCAAAAACTGGGGATGATCTCAGGTGCTTCAGAAGGATAAGCAGATCCTATTGATATTTTATATGTTTTTTGTATTTTCAGTTTTAAATATGCTGGTTGCTTGTGCCAGTTGTTGAGCCACTAGATTTTCACCTTGTCTTTGGTTGGAAATTGCCTTATTAACTGTGACCTTGATAATCTATGTCAACTGGTTGTTTATGCAGGTTATGTTTCATTGACTGTTCCCTTGTCAGAATCAATGAAAAGTTTATTAAACTCTGTAGTGTGGTTTCAGAGGAGTTGCAATGACAAGAACAGGACAGATGGATGGCCGAGTCAAAAACATTATACTCTATGCAACTTTATTGCGTGGGGTATAAATACTTACTTTTCTACAAGAATAATAACAGAGGAAAAACAAAATCTGTCACTGATATTTATCAAAAGTATAATAGTAAGGCAATCATACAACAGAAGTAAGATTTAAATCAGGTAAATGCATTATAGATATTAGAAATAAAACCAGTAAATAGGTTCACACAAATGGTTCATTTATCACAGTTTTTTTTAATATAGTATTTTTATGTACAAATATAATTAAATGTGATCACGATACATTCTCACACACAAACACATTCATTCAGAGAACAAAAAAGAAATCATTCTTCTTTTATATATTTACTGGAATAGTTTGACCTACGTTCATGGAAAGAGATTTTTCACTACACACAACATGCTTCTGTTTAATAACAATAAGTGTGCTAGAAAAATAAAACAAAAAAATGTTATCTAAACTAGACTTGTTAAAGACCATGCTTTGTCCTACAAATATTATGGATAAAGTGCTGTTCACAGATACTTGTTGAAGTTTTAGTTATCTATTGTTTACATCTGTAGTGTTATGTTTAAAAAATAAATATAAATATGTCTGAACCTTCAACAGATTCTTCTACGAGATCATATATCAAATATTTAGTTCTTTGTTGACAAATTTTAAAGTAAAAGAACACTGGTTTATTCATCAAGAGCAGCAGTATCTAGCTTTGAAGACCACGTGACAAGATCTTCTACTTCTTTTTCCCAGGGTTCATCTTTGTTGCCTGTTGGAGGTGGAGCTGTTGATGGTGCTGAAAGATATCAAGGGTCATAAGGTGAATCATTTTATTTATCAAAATAATAAAAATTTAAACTTCAACTTTCGATTATTTAATCAGATTGTAAATACTGATGATAATATTTATCTAAAACAGACACATTGATGTTTTCAATAAAATAGAATTCAAATTAATGAAGCATATTTTTTGCATAATTACATGCAGCTTTCCACAACACAAACATCTTGTGGTAGTGGGGATTTTATACAAGTGGAAATGCAACAAAACAGACTGGAAAATAACATCCAAGTTTAAATTAAAAGATTTTGTATGTTGACTCTTCCATTCTGAATTGCAGGATTGTACTTACTTGGTGATAATCTGGGAGGAAGATAAATTTTCTTCATTCTACTTAATCTTGCTAATTTGGCAGCTTTTTCATCTTCTTCATTAGGTCTGGTTTTGAAATTACCATACATCAGTGCAGAATGTCTGAAAACATATAAAATAAAAGAACTTGCAGTCAGGTGGCAACTAATATCCTTGGTTTTTACCATTTAAGAAACATTTTCACATGCATTTCAGGCTTTCAGCTTTGTCAATAGTGTTTCTCAGGGAATAGATATCATAGGACAAAAGACACACATGTGGATCTTTAAGAACTTGCAGTTACTGAAAGCTTATTCAAACATCAATTTTAATTAATAAATTGACCATATTTTACCAGAGAAAAAGTTAGTTTATTCTTACTCTTCTATTTGTCGTTTCATCTGTTCTTCTATTTCTTCCTGTGGTAAACCTAAATGTACTTTCTGTAAAACTGTACTTTCTTTAATCATCTCTAATACTGAAAATCATAAACAATCATGACTCTTCAAACTAAACATGATTTATCTAGTGGTCTCCTACATTAACACTCAAATTTTAAACATAATTCATGGTAACCCTTAATTCACTTGGGACAAATATTCTGTTTCTGACCTCATATGCAATCTTGAAATATGACTGTACTTTCAAGCTTTGAAAATATATCTGTATTTGGTTAAACAGTATCAGTGGCAAAAATTTGAGTATTTTTTACGGATTTTTACTCCTTAAAAAATAGAAATTATGGTTATTTCCTCATCAGTATAGATATTAGGACAGATGCCTGTATACACCATGACCATCTTATATTTTGAAGAGCTCTCAGCTTTATGCAAACACTACTGAGGGGTAATAATACAAATATGTAAGGATCTGATCAGATTTGGGATATCTTCAAATCTATATAAGCTCGATTGAGCTATGAAAAATGATCTCCCTTTGACATTTTTCAAATGAAATATAAGTGTGCATTGTCAATTGAAAGTGCAGTCTAAAACTCTACAGGCATAATAAAGAAACATAGCTAATAAAATTGAGAATGGAAATGGGGAATGTGTCAAAGAGACAACAACCCGACCATAGAACAGACAACAGCAGAAGGTCACCAACAGGTCTTCAATGCAGCGAGAAATTACCGCACCCGGAAGCGTCCTTCAGCTGGCCCCTAAACAAATATATATACTAGTTCAGTGATAATGAACGCCATACTAAACTCCAAATTGTACACTAAGTGTATATGTAACTCTAATTTGATTTATACTTTTCCTGACCTATTGATTATTTTTATTTAATCAACATGTGGTTTGTTTGATCTCAGTTTTTCATTGGTCAAAAGTCAATTAAATCTACGTCAAATTTTCTTGCTTTTCTCAGAATTTCCAATTGTGATGTCACAAAAAAAAGCGACCATGCCTGATGACATCACATAGAAAGAACACATCTTTTAGCAGATCATTGAAATAGGATTAAATTTTTCTACATATTGCCTAAAAATCATTAGACAGATTCCACTACCAAAATCTCGTACAATACAATATTTTTCTGCTATCGAGTTAAATTTTCAAATCTAACTGTGTCAAGTGGAGAAATATGACATCACTCTCGATGCAGTGGTAGAATCTATATGTACACAATTTTAACTTATATCCTGCTTAATTTTTAACAGTAAAAGCTAGCAATGCTTCCTTATAATGTCTGCAAAGTTTTAAAATGCATTTCCAAATAACAAGCAAGAAACAGGAATTTCAAAAAATTGCAAAGGGAGATAGCCTGATCGATCTTTAATATAATAGTTTAAAATGCAGGCAAACAGAACTTGCTGAAAGTTGTATGGATACCTTGGTTATTCACATGTTTATCATTTCTTACTTATTTATATTCATGGACAACCATGTCATGTCTCTTTATCCTTGATTGCTTCTCAAAGGATAAGTGAACAGACATAGAAACATAGTAATTATCAGTGTTCCAGCTAGGATTTCAAAAGGGCAGGGTGCCAATCCTGAAAAAGGGCATTTAACGCGTGATATGATAATATGAAAAGGGCATGTTTTAATAAAGATTACAATCAAACATTGTTTGTTCATTGAATCACTGGTTATAAATATACAACATCATTAGCCCAGAGAAAAACTATCTTTCTACTTTTTATGCTGAAAACTTATCAAGCAGCTTGTGACACAAGTTTTAAATCATTGCTTGGCACAGTTAAGCTTTATATGCAGTATTTTTTGAAAAATGTCCTGCTTCATTCTGTTTCTATGGTCTGACACACTTTACAAGTTTCACCTTTCTACCTTTTCTGTGCTTAATGGCAATACAGCACAAAACAGCTGTAAATGCACAATGTTAGGATATAGTGAACAGTGAAAATTTGGATTGAAAATAAAAAATACAGAAAAAGATGACCAAGGCACCCTACCAACCCTGCTACTAAGACCCTCTTTAACTTTTCCCATAACTTAAAACACCTAAACATATAAATTCTAAAGACAGAAGTATGAAGACATATTTTATAATATCTTAGTAGGTTACTCAATACTAGGAAAAAATAAGATTGAGTTATCTTTCTTTATTTGGGTGTGCTCCTTCTTTGGAGAATAATAAACAGTACATAGAAGATGTAAATACGATCAACAATATGGCTGCCGATTTTGTTATTTTCTTATAAAAAATGAAGGCAGTCAATGAAAAATACGTCTTAATTTGCTATTTATTTCACATTGCTAATTGTGCCCAAGTTGTATGAACATTTCTTCAAGTTCAAAGACAAATGCCGACTGACCGATTCTATTTGAATGAATTAATGTTGATGATCATTAAATGACCCATCCAATAAACGGATTACCTATAACAATGACACCTGTTGTAACCGTTGATTAGCTTGGGGTCGTAAACCAAGTCATATACTTGTCACCAGGTAAATTTTCGTAATTGGCTGATCATATCAATACGAACAAAATAATATACCAATCGATCTTCAAAAAAGGCAGGGCGCCCTGCAAAATGTAAAAAGGGCACAGGGCGACACTCGGGAAAGGTGGGGCGGACCGCCCTGTGAAAACGACCTAGCTGGAACGCTGATTATTAGTTATCTTTGTAAAAATCTCAACAGGATCAGCAAACTTTGCAAACACAATTAAAAAAATAATAGAACTAAATGAAATATATCACAGGGTTCTCACTCAGGATTTTTGAAGGCGAGTCCAACAGTAAGAAGAAGATATTTTATTGCACTATAACTTATCATTTTAGTCTCCATGACCTAATAGAGCAATGAAATGACATTAAATTCGGATTTCTTTTAAACTTTTGCTATAAAATGATGATATGTGTGTTCAGTTTATACAAAATATTTCAATCTGGTTGCATCTTTGAACTCACCAGTTTTGAAAATGGTGAGTCCAGACAGATTTTCATGAGTCCAGGACTCATGGACTCACCTTAGTGAAAACCCTGTATCATTCCCATTACATATCATCAGACAATTTAGAAATTTTAGTAGTCACACAACTTGTAAACATGGAAAATTTCATTGATTAAATCTAAAACTTACGTGGATTTTTCAATTCTTGTGCTGGTTTAGAAGTAGCTATACCACTCCATGTTGAATGATAATCGTCAAATGACAATCTAGTTATCTTTGATGAGGACGGTTTATAAGCAGCTGTGGCTACTTTAGTAGTTTCTGTGGGTGTGGCAAATCTTACTCTTGACTCCAACTCTGAATGAGGAGTTATACCAGCTGAAAATAAATTCGAAATTTGGAAAACCTTTCATTGTCATTCTTTTTATTGAATGTTACTGGTCTTTTTTTTTTATGTCAAAATAATTGTTTTCGGGAAATGTCAATAACAGTTATGCTTTGATAACACAATTTTATAGTAATGTCAAATCTGTAAAGACAAGGCAACTATTTATTTGCTAAATTATATCATATTAGACGATATATGCAACTGCTAGATCTGATATTTGTTTGATTTTTTCAAATTATAAATTAGTTTCCAGTTTTTGAATTATTGGCAAAGGGAGACAACTCTAAGAAGCTTAGTTGTTAATTTATAAATTCACCGTTTACTTTTGTAGTATGTGTACTTTTCACAACTTTTTAAAAGATGTACATGGGGTGAACTATACTACTTCTATTTCCTGAAAACATCTCATAATTTTGATTTATACTTGAATGAAATAATTTTAATTTATCTTAAAAAATTAATTTGAACAATTACTTCATTGCATACTTTTCTTAGAAAAAATGAAGTTTCTCTCTGAAGGCTTACGCAGATAAATGAACCATGAATAGAACTGGATACAAATACCAGTTTCCATAGTTACATGTATTTCAAACATACAAAAGAAATAAAAATTAACATGACCTGTTTCAATTATTACCTTCAACACGCTGACTAGCGACCACACAGTCCAGTACCATTTGTCTATAGGCATGAGGTGAATGTATAATCATATCTGATGCCTCTGGATTAACAGGACTGTCCAGGTTTGGATTGGATAATAAATTCTACAATATAAAAAGGATTGATTATCATAAATAGGCAATCTCATAGATTTTTATGAAAATTTGCATGCAAATAAAGCACAATTAAGTTCACATGAATACTTCAAAATAATATACCCAACTGTAACACTTTGAAAAATTTGTACAAATGTATAAAATACACAAAGACATAAAAAAAAAAGGTTCAGCAGACTTTAAACTAATATTTCCAAATCCTGTCCTGAGAATCCTTTTTAAAAATTATATTGTTATTGCTACTAAATTTTCCTATATTCATATGCAGTTCCACATGTTGTAGTTGCTAGCAAAATTTCATAAAAAACTGTTAGATCGTCTTTTTACGTAACTGTTACCTTTAAATTGCATTTAAAATATCACAAGATCAAAAACAAAATAAAATTATTGTTTCTTTGCACTTTAAACACTTTGGAACTTATATTTTTTAATCATATGGTTTTCATAAATATTAAATTTTATGTAACAATTGCACTGCACTTAGGTTAACTTAAAATTACTTTTCTAAGGCATCAACAGCCTAGATGTAAACAAGTTTTATATTTCTGAAATTACCCTAAAAGCAAATTTTATAACTTAAGTTAATGCTTTATCTGACGACCAAAATTTTCCATTACTGTTTATTTAGAACGAAATAGAATGTAACATGAAAATCAAATTGCTATTCTTATTTGGACTTTAATTTTAAAAACTAATATGTTTCTAAAAGTTCAAGTAACCAAAATGTTGCTGAGGGTTGACCTGCATTTCTTATGAATATTGAAAATTTAAAATCATGCACCTGTATTGTTATTAATATAAATGAAAGACTGTAGGACTCTTGCCACTTTGAATAATCGTCTAGGAAATCTATACAAGGTCTTCCTGTGATCATGTCAACTGAAAATAACAAATAAAGAATTAAATGGTCTACTTTAAGAAAATGAATACTTCTTTACTTCTGTTTGGATAAAAAATAAGGAATATTTTACATTTTTCTTTAATAAAAAAAAAGGCTGCTACAAAAAGTCATACATTAATTTCTTTGTTGTAGATAATTTTTTTAATAGAACTTACCATTAGGGTGGAATGGAATGGTATGAAAACAGACATCTGGAGGTCTCACATTGTAATGTTCATCAAATTTTATGTATACACGAAATATTCCACCTGAAAATTAAATAATAACTTTTTCACCAAAAGTTGTTCACACATTAAATATCCAATTATCTCCCTTTCACCAAATTAACCAAATCAGTTTGACAGTTTTAATTTAAAAATAACAATCAACTTTAGTTTTTCTTACTTGAGAATTAGTCAGAGATTGACATTTCATTAATAAACAGTGTAACACAATAGTTGTGAGGGTAATAATAATTTTTAACATAATAGTATTTGTAATATGTGCGCATGTGAAAGTAGTCTTTTGTGTTTATTTGATTTAATTATGCCTAATTTGTATTATAAGACAACAACAACTTTACCAAAATTATTCAGGGTTGCATTTAAATGTAAACTCTAATTATAGTATCTGAGTTACCTTCCCATAACGAATCTTTTAAGCCTTTTATCTTGGCTACCCATTCAAATAAACTGTCATTCTGTAATGGTAAAGCTTCTATTCCCTATATAAAAAAATTATGATTTTTAATACATGTATATCCTAATCAATATTTTACAATAACTGACATTACTCCATCTCCATATTCAAATAGAAGTTCTTAATGATAAAATGTAACTTAGCATTGTGCTTGACATTGTCTTAAGGATAAAAGTAAAAATCAAAGGTTTAACAGTACAAGTATCACATAAACTTAACTGTTAACATGTTTTATTGATAATGTTAAGTTAACATTATCAATAAAACATGACAATGAAATCCCCTATGTAGGAGTTGATTACACAGATTAGTTAGCCACTTTTCCCAACCCACCCATCCCCTTACATTTCCATATTATAAGCCAAAATGTCCAACTTGGCCAAAAATGAAAAAAAAAAGTTTTCAAAATTTTACTCAATTCAATGCAAGTTTGACAAAGCTATTGATGTCTGAAAAACTTTAACCGTAGACTGTATCTTAATGTCAACTGCGAAAAAAACTTTGTCCATCTATCAGTTAAATACAGGATAATGAAAAAAATATTTTTCAAAATTGTACTCTTTATACATGTACTGTCTAGATCTTTTGATCATAAAAAAGCTTATGTCCAAGTTTCGGAAAATTCCAAGAAGGTTTGAAAAGTCATTGATGTCTAAAAAAAAACATTAACCACAAACTGAACCTAAATATTGATACCCCAAACGACAGCAGAGTGTAGGATAGCTACGTCTCACTAGACAAAGCAAAAACATATCCTTTTAGTGATTACCTTTTAAACCACACACCATTTAATTTTCAGGCAAAACTTATCTTTTTTCATAAGGAGTCATTTTGAAAAATAAAAATTCAGGGAAGCAAAAAAGAAAAATGTATATTCAGAACTGTGAGTCTCGACATCAAATGTTATAAACATACCCATGGAGGGGATTGCTGCAGTTTCTCATATTCTCTCTCAATCAAAAGATGAGCTCTTGAAAACATTGTCTGTTTCACCTGTAATAAGAAATGACAGCATTTAGAAGGTTTGTTAGTTCAATCAAAAGATATCATCATTCAAATCTCGAATTGTAACTTTTGAAGTAACATGAAAATTGACTCTTTCTCAAAAAATTAATAAAATGCTCCGCTGGGGCGCAGCTTGATACGACCGCAGAGGTCAAACCCTGACCAGTTGGGGCAAGTATGGACACAACATTCAAGCTTGATACAGCACTGAATTTGGATTGTAATTAAATATTTGACACAGCATAGGTTTCTGACACAGAATGAAAGTGGTCTAAGAACTTATAATTTTTTAATTTACCTATTCATACATGTGATGGACTGTGAAACTCAGATCAGGAGATTGGGAAAATTTGGTCAGGAGATTAGGACTCAGATCAGGAGGTTTTTAATCGACATAAATTTTGTCGTAAATGTAACCGTGTGCTGTAAAAATGGTCTTTTAAAGTGTGTTTTCTTCAACTTTCCATCCAATTTATTATGTGTATAGTACCCTTGTACTTATAAAGTTTCTCCATCTTTATATTTTACATGTTCAATCTAACATTTTTTTTTTTCAGTATGTTCTTTAAATTTTTTACTTCATATTCTATAAAACATTTATTGCAACCAGAACATTTGTTTAACTATCTGCAAATAGCTTTTGTTTGCATACTCAGAAAATCATTCTAACTGTAAAACCAGGGTCATAGTTATTATATAAATTTCAATTTAAGCCTTGAAAGGAAGTATAGAATCCTCAAATAATTTTCAAATTATTATTTTTTTATTTGTCCTAAGACATTTAAAATCATTTATTTACCATCCTTTTATGATTATTTGTTCAATTTATATTTTATTTATATTCTTTTAAAAATTTTCATTATTAAAAGGAAAGTAACTTAAAACAGGATAAATCAAGGGAAGTAACCCAATAAATACACAGTTTTTGTTACACAACGGCAGTTAGCCTGAGGTAAAAAATCATTGATTACCAGTATGTTTGACACCCAAGCTGACAAGTGAAGCCATATAATTATGCATGTTAATTGATTTACAGGTAAAATATAACTTCAGGTAATGTGAGTTACACCAGATGCCTGAGATGATATGTTGGGCAGAAATTTTTCATTCATGAAAAATTTCATACACGGGATTATAATTTTCCTCTTCAACCGGAGGTCAGGAGGAGCCTCCTGAAAACAGGATTATTGTACATCTGTCGGGAGGTTCACATGTATGCTATTCAAACCATATCATTATTATTTGCTTTTATATATAAATCAGAAATAACCAATTTAAAATGGAAAATTTAAAAAAAAAAAAAAAGAAAAAAAAATCCCCCCCCCCCCCCAATTTTTTGAACCCCCTTATGATTCATCGCCCCCACACTCAATCCCAGCTTTCCCTTTGTGGTATGGTACCTTGCAGTACAATTTTAGAGAGATCCATTCACTTGAACACAAGTTATTGTCTGGAAACTAGAATAAAAATGCTTGTTTTTTTGCCCCTTTTTGGCCCCTAATTCCTAAACGTTTAGGGCAATTACCCCCAAACTCCAACCCAGCTTTCCCTTTGTGATATGGAACCTTGCAGTACAATTTCATAAAGATCCATACACTTACAAACAAGTTATTGTCCTGAAACTAGAAAAATGCTTGTTTTTTGCCCCTTTTTGGCCCCTAATTCCCAAAATTTGGAGGAAATTACCCCCAAAAATCAATCCCAGTATTCCCTTTGTGATATGGAACCTTGTGATACAATGTCAGAGAGATCCATACACTTACACACAAGTTATTGTCATGAAACTAGAAAAATGCTTGTTTTTTGCCCCTTTTTGGCCCCTAATTCCTAAAATTTGGAGGCAATTACCCCCAAAATCAATCCCAGCATTCCCTTTGTGATATGGAACCTTGTGGTACAATGTCAGAGAGATCCATATACTTACACACAAGTTATGTCTGGAAGTTACAAAAATGCTTATTTTTGGCCCCTAATTCCTTAACTGTTAGTACCATAACCCCCAAAATCAATCCCCACCTTCCTTATGTCGTATTGAACCTTATGGTAAAATTTCATTGAGATCCATTCACTTAAACTAAAGTTAGAGTGCGAAAACTAATGTGTATTCGGACGACGACGCTGGACGACGACGACGCCGGACGACGACGACGACGACGACGACGCCAACGTCATACCAATATACGACCACAAAAATTTTTTTGCGGTCGTATAAAAAAAGCAATTGCTAACTTAAATGGTAAAAAGGGGATATTTGGCTGAAGATGTGTAGTAGAAAAAAAATCAAATAAAAAAGAACACTTTAGCAGGTAGTTTTCTTTGTTGTAGGCTTTCAGCACGAATTGTTTAAGGTGACTTTCTGATAGATAAAATTTAATGCATCCCAATTTTACATGCTATATTGAAATAATTTTTCCAAATGTTTAAATTTTGTATATAACTTTACACTGTTATGAAATATTTAGCTTAAAATAACATTTCAAATCATTGTTAAAAAGAATACATTTACCATCATTAAGGGCCCATTATGTGCTGATCTTGTTAAAACCACATATACAGTTACTTCATAATTGGAAGTTGTGCCATAAAATACCAAACAATGTTGCACTTGCACTGAAATAATTTTCAGGAAGACTTCCTATTTGTTTAACATCCCCTCGTGTATTTCTACAATTTTTAGGTGAATAAGAGGCGTTCAAAAGGAAATCTTTTTTCCTAATTTTCTTATTAACAGCATGTTTTAACTATTGATTGTATAATTTTTTAGTATATAAAAAAATATAATTACAAAATATATTGCACATCCAGTAATGGATAATTTATGTTCAGCAGGTTGGGGAGAATCCTCATAAATGGGTACTATCCCCAAAATTGGGTATCAATTTACAGTGATAAAAATCGAATTTTGTATTTCTTCATAATAGCCGTCATGGCGCAAATATTCATATAAATGGCAACGTTTTTCCCTTTAACAATAGTTTAAATGAGAACTTAATACAAAGATAATGGCCTCCAAAAATCCTACTTTTTGAAGGCTGTTAACTTTTATCCTGATGATATTTCAGTCATGGTGTCTTCAGGCAAAATGTTGTCCTTTACCCAAAAGATAGAAAAAAATTATTCAATCCAAAGTTTTTATATTTATCACTGAAAATTGATACCCGGTTTGGGATATGATACCCATAAATGAGGGTGGTAAAGGGTTATCTTGGTGGAACGTTTTCGGCCTTTTTATTTCACGTGTTTTCATGTTTTGACGTTTTATTTCTCATTTTCTCGTGTTTAGTCCGATGTGCGTGCTTCATGTTTCCCCTTATTCATTTTCCGTGTTTCGTGTCGGGACTCTTTATTTCTCGTGCTTGTCTCGCATTTGATTAAAAAGTAAACAGGGACTAATTCAAAGTTAGCGCGGATATTGTTTAAATTGTGTATTAATGAACTGTAGCCTATAAGAACTTAAATAACAGTATAACTATGAATAATATTTTTTTTCAAATCAGATGCAACAAGCGGACGCTAAAAGGTGACCGCAAGGTCTTCATGTCCAGTAATAATGACTGCATGATCTCCAAGAACGGCTGAGTAATAACTTCTAGTACTTTTTTCCTTAATATTTATGATTTTGTTTTTCCCGATTTTTATTTTCCGTGCAACATTTTTGCGATTTTTATTTACCGTGTTTCCGTGTTCAGACCCCCCCTTTACCACCCTCAAAAATGAGGATAGTACCCATTTACGAGGATCCTCCCCAACCAGGCAACCTGTTCAGTACGTAGTGAACTACTACCAGTATTATCATGTTGGCTGGTTATTTGGTTTTGTCCTGTAAGTCAGTTCATTTAACATTATGTTCACGAATCAAGGATTTGTATAGCAAGAAGGTTCTTACTATACAAATCCTTGACGAAATTACCTGACTTGGGGTCTACAGATTCTTTATTGACTAATTTAGCATTACAGCTGAGATACATTTGTTGGTTATAACATACAAATGGTCTTAATGTTCTTTCGATTCTTTATTTATGCAAGGTTATAATTTACCTAGTCCGTCTTTTCTTTTTCTATAGAGTTATTTTCTCATTTTTAAACAGAAATCTTCACATTTATGGCAGAAATCGTCTCGAATTTGTTCTGTCCTCCATGTCGTTGATCTTCACAACCACCGATCTGCGCATGACCGATTCTAAGTTTTGCCTCTCCAAAGGGTATTCCGAAGTGTCTTCTTAAATCGCGGGAAATACGCTTTTGACATTGTGATAGGAAAATACAGCGACCATCAAACAATAAAGCACATTTCAACGCATCAATGTCATTTTTAGCGCACCTGGCCCAATGGACCAAGTCACTTGACGTTCGTCGTCCATCGTCCGTCGTCGTCGTCCGTTAACTTTTACAAACATCTTCTCCTCTGAAACTACTGGGCCAAAACAACAGCAATATTGTTCAGCAAAGTAGGATTTACAAATAAGTCAACATGACCAAAATGATCAATTGACCCCTTAAAAAGTTTTTTAAAAAAGTGAGTTATTGCCCTTTATAGTAAATTTTTAACAATTTTTTGTAAATTTTTGTAATCTTTTACAAAAATCTTCTCAGACAAATTTAACCAAACTTGGCCACAATCATCATTAGGGTATCAAGTTTTAAAATGTGTCCGATAACCCCGCCTACCAACCAACATGGCCGACATGGCTAAAAATAGAACATAGGTTTTGTCTATTATTTTTTGAACCGTTATAAATAGAGAAAATCTGAAAGGAGCAAAAATCTTCAGAATAATGAGCTCTACCAATTGTCCATATACCTCAAAACTGTTAGACAAATTCTTATAGGAGTTATTGCCCATAAATGACAAATTTTACCATTTTTTTCATTTCTGCCTATTATCATGAAAACTATGATATTTAGAAAGAAATTTTTTTTTCCGTTATGCCTAATATGATTTAAATTATAATAGATAAATAAACACTTTAAATCACAAAAATGATCAGCAAGGCAAGATCTATTAAAAAGTCAAATTTTGCCGATATAAGTTAGTAGACTGTCACTCTTCATAGGAGTGATTGCCCCTTAAATGAGGATTTTTTTACCCTCTTTTGTGTCTTGAGCAAAAACTAAAGAAGATAGAGAGAAACTAAACAGACTACAAGATCAGTAATACAAGATCAACAAAATAGAGATGTTTGTCATGCAGTCTATTCTCGTCTACAATGTTGGAGAGTGTCCTTTGTTTCATGTGATATCATGTGGCATATATACCAAGGTTACTGAGCGACACAGGCTCTTTAGAGCCTCTAGTTTTTTAAATTAAAGACCGGGATATTCATTACATAATATACGAGGGTCTGGATGTGGTTTATAGAATAGAGAATAATGGGGTGCTAAGTGAATATAAAAAAGGAGGTAAAAAATAAAGAACAGAGAGAAATGGACCAATTAAAGTAAAGAATAGAGAATAATGGAGTGCTAAAATATGAAAAAATAGAAAATAATGGAAATTCTAAAATATCAAAAATAGAAAATAATGGAGATTCTAAAATATCAAAAATAGAGAATGAAGAAGTGCTAAAACACGAAAATATAAAAAATAGAGATTAATGGGCAAAACTATTCAGAATTCAATAGAGACATCAAATGCGGCATAAAAGAATAATTAAAGAATATATAGTGAAGGACCCTAATAAACGCAATATTTATTTTGCACGAACAGATTTACGACGTTTGGGCACGGCAATATAAATTATAATATTACAATACATAAAATCTGAGACTACTATAACACACTATAACACATTATAGTAGTTTCGGGTAAAATAAACAAAATTCTAAGCACAATTGCTTACTAAAAAAGACACTCAGCATTAGCTCCTATGGAAATTTGAATGATGGAATTATATACCCGAAGACTGACGTCCATATTTTGACACACAATTGGTCAACATGGAGATGGTAAAGATCCGAAAACTCACAATACTCGACAATGTCGCTAAATTCAGTTTAATGGAATAGATTCTTTTTTGTAAGCGTGACTTGGAACATATGCATAGTGTAATAATATTTCTACCGTCTAAATTTTTAAAATAATATTCAAATTCACAGTTTTCTTTATACATACGATAGTTTAGATTTGTTTGTGATTCTAGCACATTAGTGTGCCATTTCTATTTAAACTGATCGACAAGATGTTGTTATCCCACACAAATGACAAACTAAATTCATCTAGAATGGATTTAACATTTTTTAACCAAGTTATCATTCATTTTTATATTTATACAATGAGTACTTTTATAGAACTGCAGGAAGTTTTTCTTGTTTTCAAGACAATAATTTTGTCCAGTAGTTAATTATACGGAGTTTTATATCGATTTCCAAAGGATATCTGTCCAATTCTACGTATATCATAAAATCAGGTGTAGACTTTTTAACCTTAAGCAAGATCTTCTGGCCAAAAACCATAAGTAATAAAGACCTATACAACCTAACCTTACAAGGAGACATCAGCGCAGAAATTAAAGAAAGGCGATGGAATTGGATAGGCCATGTTCTAAGAAAAGTCAAACATGACATGACAAAGATAGCTCTTCAATGGACACCTGCAGGGGGGAAAAGAAAGAGAGTGAGACCGAAAGAAACATGGCGACGCACAATAGAGAGTGAACTGAGAATTATGGGAATGACATGGGGAGAGGCAGAAAGAAAGGCACAAGACAGGCAACAGTGGAGGGCGTTGGTAGTGGCCTTATGTGCAAGTACGCACGAAGAGGATTAAGTAAGTAAGTAAAGGTATTTAGAATTTCATATGTACTCTTTCTATAACCGAATTATTACCAAAACCCCAGACTACAATACCATAATTTAAAATAGGTTTAACAATCTTGTTAAATAATTCCATTTGACATTCAATAGAAAGATTGTGCAATCTTCCTTTTTTATTACGTCGTACATAGCACATATTGCTTTATTTGCTTGTGCTTTTTAGCCTTTGAAAAACCTCCTGTTCTACTGAATAAGACACCTAGATATGTAAACTCACTAACAATTTCTAGTACAATATCGTTATAATTAAACTTAACATTAATAGGTAGTCTACCTTTAGAGAAAATTACAATTTTACATTTTTGTACATTCACTTTCAATTTCCACATATTTAACTTGCGACTCTGATAACAAAACTGTATCATCTGCATACAGTATTACAAAAAGTTTAAGATTATAATCAAGTTTAGTTTCTAATTCATCTGATAGAGTTTTCAAACCATCTATGTGTATGTCTCTAAGAAAATCTTCTAAATCATTTATATATAAAGAAAAAAGTATAGGAGGTAAATTTTCCCCTTGCCTAACACCAACATTACATGTGAAAAAATCTGAAAATTCATTACTATAAAAAAATCTATATTTTATATTACCATACACATTTCTAATAGTATAATAAATTTTACCATTCACCGAGTATCTTATCAATTTTGACCAAAGTCCTGCATCCAAACAGTGGCAAAGGCCTTTGCAAAATCAACAAAGACACAGTAAAGTTTTTTCTTTTTCTTTTTTAACAGTTCAAATAATAAATGAAGTACAAAAATGCTATCAGTAGTAGAATAACTTTTTCTAAATCCAAATTGATTTTCCTTCAGCAATAGAAACTTCTCTAAAAATGCACTTACTCTAAGATTGAGCACTGCAGTAACTTGACATTTTACTCATTGTTGAAGGCCATACGATGACCTATAGTTGTTAATTTCTGTGTTATTTGGTCTCTTGTGGAGAGTTGTCTCGTTGGCAATTATACCACATCTTCTTATTTTTATATAAATATATTACGTGTACACTTTATATATTTATTTATGATTAAATCATCACCACATCCTCTTCCATTTTTCATTTTTTTATACATATAAAAACTTCTACCTTCAGTAATAAGTTGTCCTTGACCTCAGTTTCATGGTTCAGTTATAAAAGTTTGGTTTTCGTAATTATATGTCCGTTTCTCAGATACTATAAACAATATGTCAACTATATATTCAAACTGAAAGAGAAATAGTTAAGATTATGCAGATTGTTCTAGCATTATCATATCTACTTTTAAAAACATATTAACCTTTTTTGCGTTTATTTAATTTGTATGCACTTTTGAAAATTATCTTCTCCCAACCTAAGAAAATAATTACCTTGTTTAGACTGCAAATACTACACGCTTCTGTAAGAGATAAATTTGTCCTGGTAAAATATGTCCGGGCGGACACATATTACTAGTATAAAAAGTCCATGGTTACAGAATTTACTAGTATTTTTAGTCCGATGTTAGTAATTTATGTCCCCAGACTAATTTTCCTAGGAATTCAAGTCCATGTCACTAATATTCCTAGGTAAAAACGTCCATGTCCTTTTTTATAGGAAAAAAAATCAAGGAATCAAATCATTTACATTTAAACAATGGAAATTTAAATGTTATGTTTTAATATTGTTTAAAAAATTTGTATTTATATTTTTGATAAAATGTTTGTCCCCATGCAGACTAATTTACCTAGGAAATCATGTCCATGTGTCATTAATATTCCTAGGTAAAAACGTCCATGCCCTATATTTTAAAAGGTAAATATAATTGTTATGTTTTAATATTGTTTAAGAGTTGTGTATCAATTTTTGTTAATAAAATGTATGTCCCCAGACTAATTTTCCTAGGAAATCATGTCCATGTCATTAATATTCCTAGGTAAAAACGTCCATGCCCTTTATTTTAAAAGGTAAATATAATTGTTATGTTTTAATATTGTTTAAGAGTTGTGTATCATTTTTTTTTATAAAATGTATGTCCCCAGACTAATTTCCTAGAAAATCATGTCCATGTCATTAATATTCCTAGGTAAAAACGTCCATGCCCTTTATTTTAAAAGGTAAATATAATTGTTATGTTTAAATGTTGTTTAAGAGTTGTATATCAATTTTTTTTATAAAATTTATGTCCCCAGACTAATTTTGCTAGGAAATCATGTCCATGTCATTAATATTCCTAGGTAAAAACGTCCATGTCTTTTTTTTTTAAAGGAAAATTTTAATGAAACAAATTATTTACATGTAAACAATGGAAATTTAATTTTTATGCTTTAATATTGTTAAAGAGTTGTGCATTAATATTTTAATGAAATTTATGTCCCCAGACTAGGTTATAACGTCCATGTCCTTTATTTAAATAGAAAAAATTAATGAAACTTTCCAATCTTTACTTGTGTTTTTTTTTATTTTCAATAATTTTTATAATATAAAAATTACTAGAAAAACAAGTCTTTGGACAATTTTTCCTAGAAAAATAAGTGCCAGACAAATTTTACTAGCTAAGGACTTATTTTCCTAGAAATATTTGTCCTGGGACTTACATTCCTAGTAAAATAATGGTCATGGACTTTATTTACTAGGAAAAAAAATCTGGCGGACACATTTTACTACCGGACCAAATTTATTGTTACACTTCTAGTTTGTTAGATAAACATGTATACTTTAAACCTTTTCTATTAAATTTAGTAGACATATTACTTACAGTATCTGAGAAAAGGACCTAATCTCAAAAACAGACGTTGACCAAAGAACCATGTAATGAGGTCAAGGTGAGGTGAACCCTGTCAGATAGACGTGTACGCCTTACTATCATCCTAAGAACCCACTTTAGTTGACCTATTACACGTAGTATCTGAGAAACGGACCAACTCATCAAAACTTACGTCAACCCGAGAACCATGAACATGTAGTAAAGGTTTGATGAATCCTATCAGACAGACTGCGCCGTGTGAATCCAATAATGATGTATTTCCCATTTGGTAATAGTGGTAAAAATTTAAGTTAAACTTTAGAAGCGCAATATCTTTAATATTTGACTGAGACAGAAACAGTTATATAGAATCAAATTTACATACATGCAGAGTAACATTTTGTTTGATTGTTTTTTTTTTAATAGACAAACAACTTAGATAAATAAAGCATCCCCTTTCCTGGAGATAGAACATTTCCCTCCAAACAATGTTGTTTCAGAAATTTATCCCTATATTTTTATAGGAGATAGACCATGGATTTTTTAACTGTGTAATATCCCCAATTCTTGACTGCTGGATTTGCTAAGAATTGCTCATAGATATAAGTTTTAGCCATGGAAACAATTTAAGCATTGTACTACTAAGATCATTTTGATAACAATTATTTAACAGCAAAAATACCCGAAAAATAGTTGAGATACAACACTATAAAAATATTTTTCTCTGAACTAACTAGATGAATAAAGCAATAGGAATGTGGAGATAGAAAAATGTAGTTCTGACAATAACTTGTAGGGTGTAGAAATCTTGTATTATAGTTGTATTTGGAGATAAACCATTGCATTTGGATATCAAAAATAAAGATATCTCCATTTTTATCAAAAGTGGACATATAACACTTTAAGATTCACACGACGAGAGATGCACACTTTACAACCATTCCTCCGATCGAGTGTAATTGACTTATTATGTACAATATCTGAGAAACGGACATAGACACAAAAACTGAACTTTGACCAACAAACCACGAAAATCAGGTTAAGGTCAGATGAATCTTGTCATATAAACAGACGGTACTACAATATGTCGATACCTTTATTTTGGCATTACACAAGGTCATGTTTTTCTCTGACTGTAAATGGTGTCTTTACACTAAACCCATCGGATTGGATGTTGGATGTGTACTTAATGATATCTTATTCTTAGATACATGATTTTTTTTTAAATTATTAGTTGTTATTGGCTTGAACTAGCTGTCAGTAACTGAGATTACTCTCAGATCTGTACTTTGTGCCTTTTTTGTTGTCACAGGGATGTATAAATACCCTACCACGTCCGGTCTGTGTTTTTGTCAGGTGTTGTTCTGCTTTGTATCGATCTGATGAGTTAAACCCTTTTCAACTGATTTTTATAGTTTATGTTCTTATGTTGTGCTGTAACACCACTGTCCCCGGTTAGAGGATGGTTGAGCGCTCAAAAACATGTTTAACCCCGCCACATTCTTTATGTGCCTGTCCCAAGCCAGGAGCCTGTAGTTCAGTGGTTGTTGTTGGTTCATGTTTGTTATAGTTGTTTTTCGTAAGATGTTTTGTTATAAATCAGGCCGTTAGCTTTCTCAATTGATTTGTTTCATATTTTTCATGTCGGGGCCTTTTATAGCCGACTATACAGTATGGGATTTTCTCCTTTTTAAAGGCCGTACGGTTGCCTATAATTACTTACATCCACTTCATTTAAACTTTGGTGGATAATTGACTCATTTGCAATCATACCATATCTCCCTATTTTTATACATGCACACATAGCAATCATTTTTTGCACCTTTCACATATGGCATTCGAGAAAAGAACCTAAGAACGTAAACTTACGTTGATCAATGAACCATGAAAATGAGGTTAAGGACAGGTAAAACCTGTTAGATGGACATGTACACATTCTACTATCATTATATGTAACCGAATTAAAGTTTACATTTTACCTATCGTATCTGAGAAGCGGACCTAACTTTCAAAATGTAACGTTGATCACTTTTAAAACTATGGAAAGAATGTTAAGCTGATCAGATGAAAATTTACACCTATCAGTCAATAGTTCTGTACACCAATATTGTTAACATATGTCAAATTGGTCTTAACACGAAAACTTTAAGTTGACCGACGAACCATGAATTCAAGGTCAGATAGTTCATGTCAGACGGACACGTACTCCTTACAATCATTATATATACCAAATATAGTAGCCGTATTGCTTATAGTGCCTTTTAAAAATTTAACGTTGGTCACTGGACCATGAAAATGAGGTATGAGACAACAGATATATGCCAGACGAAAACCTCAAAACCAGAGACGACTGTAAACCATTTCAGCACTTCTATTTTTTCATATGAAGGTTTGCGTACTGAGTTAAAGCCGCCATCGCCGGATTAGCATCTCCGTCACCGCGACACACATCGCAGGCGAGAGAAAAAAATCTAAACCCGACAACAAAATCAAGGGAAGACCCAAAACTGATAGAAGGAATTTAATAAAAAAGAAGAAAAAAACGGAGAACAAAATTCCCGCTCCCGATAAAAAGACAAGAAAAGATGAAACTTTTTTTTTCCAATCATATAAAGTAATAAAAGTAGTGATGGCGATAAATTAATGGGTCAATTACACGAAATCATGTCACTAACGGTATTACATTTTGTGTACAATGTATTCCTGATAAATTAAAAACAGGTTTGTTAAGATAGAGTGTTATAGGTAACACAAAGAACCATGCGGTCAAATGTGCTTTACGTTCATGAATTACAATCGGTTGCTCTCCAAAAGCGTGCGAAGCCAGATCCCATATGTTGACATCGATTTGCATATAAATGATAACAAGGCCATGCATGGAGACTTTGTTGTGACGCTATTTCTTGAAAATACTAGGTACAGCCAAGGGAATTAAGCTAGAGTCTTTCCGAAAAACGGCGATCTGCATGCCAAGGAGAAATCGACTATATCAGTAATCTCATCATTAATCAGTCTGTCGTTGAGCAGGGTACATAGAAATCAAAAGGTAAGTACACCTGATATATGACCAGTTGATTTTGTCAATTGTGTGTTATAATTTGGTGGATTTGAAGTGTATCATTGAATCCCTTGTTAGCTGCTATATATGCTCTGGGAACAGTATATATGTTCCTGATATGCTTGATCATGCTTCATGTGAATAAACAGTTTTAACAATTCATTTTACAGAGACAACTTTATTATGTAGAACTCATTTATACTGATACATTAAAAATACATTTTCCAAAGATTTTACCGTTTTCTTTTCGAATTGCAAGTTAATTTAGTTCTTTGTATGTTGAATGTTGGTCAATGTCCTAGAAAAGTGTACTTCTTTAATGTGACATGACCCACCAATTTCTACATGAGAATTTATTGAATCGCCCCATCGTCCATTACTAATCTCAGTCTAGTTTGTACTATTTTCCTAAGCTCTGTATATTGTCAATACATAATATCCTATCATCAAAACCTGGATAATCTGAACTTGTTACACTCAAAGTAAAAACAATTTGCGAAACAGTTAATGTAAAGCATAGCTATCATTGGATATGTCAATAAAGTCGTGCCTGTACAAAATCCTTGACCGTCACTCCTACTGAAGTTTCACTGGGACTCTGTATCAAAAGTCGGTAGAAAGGAAACATATCCAGACGGTACCATTGAACTTAATATATTATAAATACATGTATAGTTGTCTCATTGGCAACCATAACACATCTTCTTATTTTCATATAGATTATTAAAATTTACTCCATGATGTATTTGTCGATTTCATGCCTGTATAAAATAAAAAATAGTCGCTTGTGTAGGGCAAAAATTTACATTAGATCTGAATGTTTCTGTTGAAATATACAAAAGCAAAGGGTATAACTTGACTCCAAGTCTTTGATGAAATTTAAACATGGAGTACTGTACTCGTTTTGCATCCCAAGAAAATATGTTTTCTCTTTTCGGGAGGTTGATGAGCCAAGAAAAATAGACTAATTTGGGTAAAAATTACTGTGACAGGCAAAAATACCCAAAGTGCTACCCAGAAATATTTGTAGCAGTTAAGATTTAACCTAACTGAGATTCTGATGAAATAATTTGATGGTTGAAAGTTGTGTTGTATATACTAACTTAAATTTTGATTTTAATAATTTTAGTGGTCAATTTGCTCCATTTACTGATATGAGAAGATTTACTTATGACAAATAAGCGAAAATGGAATAGCAAATCACAAACATATTTAGGGAATTTGAATCATGCATCAATAAAAAAAGCCTTCTTTATTACATATCCTAGAGAGCAACACACAGTCTGCAACAATAGAACACTAGACTAGTACACGAAAAACTACATCTTTGGTTAAAAATGCTCGGATCAATTGAGAGCATTCTCAAAATGATTTGCTGATAATAGAAATTATATGGTCCTACACTTTATTCAATGTGATCTTGATATAACTTAAGTACTGAACATCGGATGACCGCAAGTTCTGGTGGATGGTCACAAGCACTTGTCTCAGAAAAAAAAATCGCATGTCTATACCTGAAAGTAAGGTTAAGGTACATAGATATATTTTTTTCTGAGACAAGTTCCTGTGTGGATGATGAATAAATGACAGGGAATTCAACCTCACCGTTATAATTATTATATTGTAGTGATATAATCATTTGTTATCAGTATACTCTGGTTTGTTGTTATATATTATATTAATATTTGTATACAAGTTATATATATATAGCAGATCATCTTAATAACTCTTACAGGCAAATTTTCATCCATTTATAGTAGGCATTCATATTTTCCCGCTTCTGTTGCAAAACGTTCTCGAGGTATTCTTCCGCATGCGTTAACACACATTTTCGATATCCATGATGTGTTATTGATATATATATATTTCTCACGACAAAACATTTTCATACATTTATCTATGTTCTTAAAAATTATTTTCATGAATATTTATTGATGAAATTAATATATAACAAGCGATAAGTAATGTTATTTGGCACTCGATAATATCCGCGTAATTATACGAAATACGTACCGATTATCAGCTTGTATGTATGTTGATATTGTAAAATATCAGCTGTGAGTCACAATATGAAGATTTTTGTCGAGTGAGCGCAGCGGACGAGATCAAAAAGCCTTCATATTTTGTCGAGCAGCTGATATTTTACAATATCAATATGCAGATAACCTGATAATCGATTTATCGGGCGGTATTTGCGTCATTTTGAAATGTTTTCTTAGTTTCACCAGCAACCGGAAGTTAGCTTGATAAGTTCGGGTCAAACTTATTAACCCTCGGTTCAAACTTTATGACGTCGCTGATATTTCCGGGTCAAAGTTATTAAGGCCGGGTCAACGTATTTGACGTCACAAAGCCGTGATATGGAAAAATATTAAGAGCTGATCAGAGTGATATAGACAGTGGGACGACCGATAAGTTCAGTTATCAGTCAAACGGCAAGGAAATTTCTGCGGCAACATAACACCGGTATGACCTCTCAAGGTCACATCCGATGTAAAAACGATATAATTCTTACCTTTGGAGCAGTTTATATGTGCCTCTACTCATATTTTTCGTGTAAAAGGACAGAACATATAAACTGTTCTCAAAGTAAAATTTTGTTACTTATGACAAGAACCATTTAAATGAAGGAAAATAGCTGAAACAATAAAGAGTTTTATTGAAAATATCTTTAACACACACATATATAGTGGAAAAGGCAGGAGTCCATGGCCGTAGCTCCCATTTTCCTTAATCTGGATTAATGCAAATAGTTATAAATCTTGAGGATTCATAACAATCTACAAAACTAAAAACAATGGATCCGATAGAAGCATATGCTTGCGTTTCGGTGTAGGCAATTTCTTGACTATCTTGAATATGGTGAATATCATAATCGAAAAGAAGTGAGTCAAGTACGCCTTTTACACTCAGATGTGTTTGAGTATCATGATGTGCCCTTTAACCATGTACAAACAGTCAAAATGGGATATCATCAACTTATTTTGACTAAGTAGATATTAAACTTCCCTTTACGATAAACGTCAAATATGTGGGTAAAGTGAAATACCTGATAAATGAGTTATTCCATTTGTAATTTGTTTTCTTATATTGAAGGTTTTATTGCGTTGTTTACTTCATATTGAGTTTGAGATCTAATTGCAAATGCGAATATCGAACCAACTGTGAACTAAACGTTTTATATATGGATTTTTTTTTCAGTCAGTGAAATTCGCTGTAAATACGGTGTTTTATTAGAAACAATTATCAGGGTTTTTGCATGTTGATACTATCAAACATCAGCTGAGGGTCACAACATGGAGCTTTTTGTCGAGTGAGGCAGCTAAGAAATTAAAAGGGCTTTTCACAACATTTATGTACGTTTCGGCAAAACATTTTTTTACAGGTTGTAGGTATTCCTATGGGCATCGATTGCGGCCCTTTAATAACAGTCTTGTTCCTGTACTGTTGCGAATCACAGTTTATGGACAAACTCAGTCTAAATTCCATTTAATTGATAAATTCAACAACACTTATCGTTTTCTTGATGATATTATTTTCGTTGAATAATCAAGAATTCTCTAAATATACTTATGAAATTTACCCAAAGGAGCTTTAAATAAATCAATAATTAACAGTAATAACTGTTTCTTTCCTAAATTTAGATATTTCAGTTTTACTCAGGAAACTCTACACAAAAATCTACGACAAAAGGGACGTCTTACGGTGTTTATATATCACAATTCGTACGCAATGCCCGTGTCTGTAGTGACTTTTGGATTTCAATGAACGTGATCTATGTATTGCTAGTAAATTATTAAGACAAAGATTTCGTAACCACAAATAACTTTAAACCTTTACTAAATTCTTCTATAGATATACAAATTTGATTCGAAAGTTCGGCTGTACCTGTAGAAAAACATATTTCAACGGGATATACATAAAAATAAGGAGATGTTGTATGAATGCCAATGAGACAACTATCCACAAAAGTTCAAATGAAGTGGATGTAAGCATTTATAGGCAACTGTACGGCCTTCAACAATAAGAAAAATCCATACCGTATAGTCGGCTATAAAAGGCCCCGACATGAAAAATACGAAACAATTCAATTGAGGAAACTAACGGCCTAATTTATAACAAAACAATTTACAAAAAACAAATATGACAGACATGAACAAACGACAACCACTGAACTACAGGCTCCTGACATGGGACAGGCACATAAAGAATGTGGCGGGTTAAACATGTTTGTGAGCGCTCATCCCTCCCCAAACCTGGAACAGTGGTGTAACAGCTGAGCACAACATAAGAACAAACTAAAAAAATCAGTTGAAAAAGGCTTAACTCATCAGATCGATACAGAGAAAAACATCAAACAAAAACACAGACCGGACATGGCAGGGTATATATCCATCCATCATCCCTAACAACAAAAAAGACACTGAACTGAGAGTACTCACAGTTACTGCTAGTTCAAAGCCAATAACATTAAATACAATAAATCATGTATCTAAGACTAAAATATCAAATAGTAGACATCCAACATCCAATGGATTTAGTGTAAAGACGTCATTAACAGTCAGAGAAAAACATGACCTTGTGTAATGCCAAAATTTTGGTATCGACAGATTGTAGTACTGTGAAAGTACATATTTAGTATGGTTTTAATTTACTGATAACAAAATCAATTTTTATACCAATAAAAACAATATTCAAAGATTTAATTATAGTGTTGAAATTTAAGAAATTGAGAGTAACCTTTTAGAATAAGTTTATTTAAAGGATTGATTAGTTTACCCGGAACGTATCTAAATTTCCGGGCTCTGTTAACAACATCACCGTAAAATTTATGATGTGCTATTCCGTTTGAAATAAGTTTTCTACAGGTACTGCCAAACTTGCAAACCAAATATTTGTATCTATGGAAGAATTTGGTAAAGGTTTTAAGTAATTTGTGGTAACGAAATCCCTGACTTAATAATTTACTAATAATACATAGATTACGTTCATTGAAAACCAAAACGTAAATACAGACACGAGCATAGCGAACAAATTGGGATATATACACACCGAAAGAAGGTGCCAAAGGAACATCACCGTCCAAAATAGGAAAATTAACAAAAGGGAAAGAAAAATCATCCCTTTTGTCGTATTTTTTTTTTAAAGAGTTTCTGGTGTAATACTGAAATATCTAAATCTAGGAAAGAATAGTTATTGCTGGTAATATTTGATTTATTTAAAGTAAATCCCTTTGGGTAAATTTCATAAGTATATTTAGAGAATTTTTGATTATTTAACGAAAAAATATCATCAAGATAACGATAAGTGTTGTTGAATTTATCAATTAAATGGAATTTAGACGGTTCTTTACGGAGTTTGGCCATAAACTGTATAGGAACAAGTCTGCTATTTAAGGGGCACAATTGGTGCCCATAAAAATACCTACATGTCGATAAACTTTATTGCCGAAAAGTACATAAATGTTGCCAAGGAGAAAATTTATAGTTTTAATCATCTCATCACACCCCCAGTAAGTATATCTAGCATATTTACCTTTCTCATTTTAGAAAAAGGCTTTATATGAGTTGCAGCAAATAAATTTGCAATCAGATTTATCAAACAACCATTTCATTAGATGAGAAAACTTTTGTTTGATAAGATTGTGTGGAAGTGTACTATAAAGAGTGGAAAAGTAAAGACTGTCAACCGAATCAAAAGGACCATCAAAAGCACGTAATTTATCTAAAACATCCAAAGAATTTTTATTTACACTCCAAAAATGGTTAATTCCACTATTTTCATATGTTTTATTACAAAAATTAATGATAAGTTCTTTGACATTAGTTAAGGAATTAGTTAAAAGCACCGAAAGATTTAGTAGTAGAACACTTACTAGAGGCCGAAGTGAAACGATATTTTACGGGTTTTTTGTATAGTTTATGTAATCAATACAAAGAAAGGACCTTCAAATGTTCAGAGGAGGCCTTAAGCTGAGCTGTGATAGTGACATGATTATTTACTATATGACTCTCTGTGGGGTGTACGGCCTTGAATGTAGTTGAATGTATAATTTCATTCTTAAGGACTTCCGTGTAGTATTTACGTCATACCACCACCACATTGTTGGCTGCTTTGTCGGCCGGTACGAGCATAAAACACTTTGCGAGTACTTGAATATTGTTTTTTAATCCTAGAAATGGGCGTATTACTTACCCTTTAACTATTTTTCTAAATTATTTTCGAAATGTGATATGCGAATATCAACAATATATATTGAAATAGGAATCAAGTGACTTTTTGTCAAATTTCTCCTGTTTACATCATGTTTTACAATAGGATGAAAGAGCTTCTTTAATAACCTGACGACACTCTTCCCAATTTATTTTCAACGGTGGACGATATTTTGATCCTTTTTTCGGAAAGTTTATAACCTCTCGGTCTTGAACGATGTTGAGGTCCCCTGTAATTACATGGCCATATGGATCATATCTAAACTTCGATGTTTCACATTCTCATGTTGAAGGAGCATTATTTTCTATACTGACGTCTGATGTAACTGACGTATAATTAAAAATTAAACTTCTACTGTTTTTTTTTATACGAATAAGAAATTATAGGTGGCTCAATGTTATCAAAATAGGGAGGTATAAAGTTTTTAACGGTAGAGTCATGAAAAATACTAGACAAATTAATAAAACCAATACCTCTATTAATGTATTTTATTTTAAGAAAATTTATGATCTTCAGGTTTGTAAATTCGAGGGAACAGTCTATGGTGACAAAAAACTGTAATAATCCGTGTACACTCATATTTTGGACTGAAAAACGATATTGTATCACACTCGTTATAAATATGATGTAATTTACTAATTGGCATTTGACCCAGTTTGCATAATAATTGATTTCTACCATTTTTTTTAATTTAGATAAAAATCTTCAAGTGTAAACTTAGAACGATGTTTATTTCGTTGATTTTGGTTAACGCGATTGCCATGAGACCTATGATTGTTTTTATCAACAATAGTCATAATATCAAAAGAGTAAGTTTTAGATATGTTCTCTTGGCCCATGATGTTGTCATTTAGACCCTGGGGATACGCTGTCTGTAGACGTTTAATCCAAGACAGTTCGCAAATTTTACGGGAATCTTCAAACTGTTTATGTGCTTGTCCTGGTTGTTTATGGACGGTTTGAAGTGGTTGGAATTTGATAAATTTAATATCGTGTTTGTGTTTTTCTAAATGTTGGTAAATTGCACAAGGTCATGGTTTTCTCTGACTGTTAATGGCGTCTTAACACTAAATCCATTGGATGTTGGATGTGTACTGATTGATATCTTAGTCTTAGAAACATGATTTATTTATTAGTTGTTATTGGCTTTGAACTAGCTGTCAGTTACTAAGAGTACTCTCAGATCTGTACTTTGTGTTTTTGTTGTTGTGGGGATATATAAATTCACTGCCACGTCCGGTCTGTGTGTTTGTTACTAGTAGTTGTTTTCCTGCTTTGTATCGATCTGATGAGTTAACCCCTTTTCAACTGATTTTTATAGATTGTTCTTATGTTGTACTGTTACACCACTAAACCAGGTTAGGGGAGGGTTTGACGCCAGCAAACATGTTTCACCCCGCCATATTCTGTATGTGCCTTTCCCAAGTCAGGAGCCTGTAATTCATGGGTTGCCGTTTCTGTATATCATATTTCTTTTGCTTATTATTTTGTACATAAATTAGGCCGTTAGTTTAAATTTTTTGTTTGAATTGTGTTACATTTTTTATTTAGGGGCCTTTTATAGCTTACTGTGCGGTATGGATTTTGCTCACTGTTGAAGGCCGTACAGTGACCTATAGTTGTTAACTTCTTCGTCATTTGATCTTTGGTGGAGAGTTGTCTCATTGGCAGTCATACCACATCTTCTTATTTCTATATCATATTGAGTCGATCAGCTGATTTATTTCAATATCAATACGATGAAAATCTTATAATCGATGTTTCGGATTGTATTTGCTTTTTTCAATGACCGAAAGAACACTTTTTCTTTGTTTTGCGAGCAAACTGGAAGATGCATGACTTGATAACTTCGAGTCAAACTTATCAACGTCGGGTCAAACAGTGTATGGTGGGTGATAAGTCTGGGTCAACGTTATATAGTCGTGTTAAGCGATGGAACGAGGAGTTGAGTGGAGTGATACAGACACATGCGAAAGACCAATAACTTTCGCAACACTTCTAAAAAACACACTTAATAAACATCGATATTCCTATTTGGAGTACAAAATGTATATTAAAAATTGGATAGCTGACCATTCAGGTCTTCAAAAGATAGGTTACTAGTATTTCGTTGCTCACAAAAATCAACTAACAAAATTAAATAATCACAGGAATTCTCGTGTAATTTTCCGTATTTTAATGCTTTCTTCATAGCCATGTCTGCTGACGACTGTTCGGAGGCCTCATCCTCAGATGATACATTTTCGCCAACAGTTAGAAGGAGAAGAAAATGTTATAAACCTACTAGAAGTGCATCAAAAACAGATCCATCGTTCAAGGGTGCAACTGTTTCTATGATGACACACGTAAAAGATGGAGACAGCTACCTGTTCATATCAGCACACTTCAGGTAGGTAGTAACTGTATAAAATATAGCACAAGTTGAGTCTCTGTCCGGTATCATCAATGGGTGAACATGAAAATGTTTGCTTCTCTTCTAAACACACAGAATTTGGTGAGCGAGGGCAAGAACTTTTGACTTTTGTTTTGAACAATTGTGTTTTAGTGGTGTGACATATTTGTTCCTATTATTCTTCGAGTGAGCTTTCCATATGACGTTAAACATTCATCCTTTATATACAAGTACACACAGGGTTTTAGTTAAAGAAAAAAAAAGAAACCGAAACCAAATTATTCATGGATAGATGCCCTGCAATCTAATTAAAATATAGTTCTCTGATTTCGTTGTCCTCTTATATGTATATAGGTCTAAATTTTAATCAGATTGGATGGCCGGTTTTTTAAACCTACGCGACAATTTTGAAAAGACAAAATAATATTGTTATGTGTCTGCTATTGCAGCTTTTCATTTATTTAATTTTTCATTCAGCTAGAATACGTGGAAATGCGTTTGAAAATTTATAAATGTTATATTAAATTCCGAATGTATATGATATTTGTAATAGTGAATATCTAAGTGAACCTACAATTTTGGGATTAAGTATTTTTAACCCCACGAAAGTTCAAACGGGTTGAAAATTTGGTAAATTCTAGTTGTCACATTAAACAAATACAAATATACTTAATTTTCTTTGATATGTATTACTTTTCACACTGCAATATACTGGCAACTTGTATTAAATCTACTTACAATGTCCAGTATCCGGACTGATTTGTGAATGGGCGTATTAAAAAGTGAAATAATAAAAATACCGAACTCCAAGGAAAATTCAAACGGAAAGTCCTTTATCAAATGGCAAAATCAAAAGCTCAAACACATCAAACGAATGGAGAACAACTGTCATATTCCTGACTTGGTACAGGCATTTCCTTATGTAGAAAATGGTGGATTAAACCTGGTTTAATAGCTAGCTAAACCTATTAAGCCCTCCAGCCATAACTGTCCATTCTATTTTTTCTTATATCTATAACTTCAAAAATTCGCTGCTTATCCTTACGCTTTAGAAGAATAGAAGCGTGGTTCCTGACAGTAAAATCCGTTCTGAGAAAGTAGGGTCCGTTTGGATATAAGGGTAGTATGCATACATACGCAGCCGCATGTGATCTGATTATGAGGTAAATCCAATATCCCGTATTGGGAGAGTCACGCTCCTTGTGCGTAAGATCTTTTTACTGTACACTTACAAAGTAAATTTGTTCACCCTATTATCGGCATATCCTATTTTTCTGTGGAAGTACAAGTTCTCTGTCCTTCATCCTGGTCGACCCACTAAGAATCTACTGAATAGATTTCACAGGCACATAACTAGTTTATACAAGTTGCCTCTCGACTCTTCTTTTCTAAAAATAAAAGAGAAGAGTGACAGAACTACAGCTATTTAGAGATTATGTGAATTTGAGCACGACCACTTAAATTAAGTAATATTTACGTAACATTTGATAAGAACAAAATTTCAACACAAAAAAAGAAAAGAAAAGAAAAGCTCATGTTTGATTTATTGTTTTATATGTGTTTTTGTCACTAGACGTTTAAGGTAGATCATAAGTATATATTTTTTGAGACAGAATTTTCTTATACTTTGCCAAAATGAAGATTTTACTATGCTTTTTTTTTAAATATAATAAAAAGTGTGGGTCACCGTGCTATTTTCCAAGCTATGAGTCGTTGAAAATTGCCTAAATTTGGTTAGATTGTTCATGAAAAAACACATTTGTGTGCATAAAAAGAAATCTATGAGATAAAATTTTGAAATAAATTGTGAGAAGATAGGTTTTATAAAATGTTTTAAGAAAATAAAAAGAAAAAATGGTGTCTCCGAACTTGTTTTCTTGCTACAAGTAAAAATTTTAAATTTCCCTATCAGTCCAGTATATATTTTATACTAAAAGAGTTATCTCCCCTTAAATGGCTTATTTGAAAAAATTGATTTTAAAAACACAAAATTTGATATTTGTTTAAATATTTTGTATAGTACAATAAATCACCTAGTTTTCTTTATATTAATAAACAGTGTAACAAATAAATTGCAAATCTGTCTCCAAATTTGCAGAATTGAGCAAATAACTAGACCAATTTTGTACTGCGATTGTACAATCCAAGATGGCGGTATACCATGAAACAACCTTAAGCGTTCAACAATCCATCAATAAATCAGTTATCAGCCTATCATTACATACTTTTACATTCCCAATCGCGAATTAAAAATTTCAAGAGTTTATAAATGTTCATTTTATAGTAATGTGAATTATTTGCTGAATAAAAGAAACCATGGTTGTGGAGAGTCTTTCTATGGATTGTATGGCTCCTTGAGTGAAGATGAAGATTTACCAGAATCATCAGAAACAGCTAGCTATTTCTTTCCTTGCTCATGTAGGTTATTTGTTAATTCAGTGACATAGTCACAGTATATATTTTTAAAGAATTTTATCTTGAGACCCACATCCTATTACCAGCTATCGGTACTGCAATAGGCAACACAGATAAAAATATGATGTATACGATTGCATAATCCATTGTATAACAATGACAATTGGGGACTACTGCCAAAAATCTGCCATTCACGATAGCATAATCCATTGTATTACAATGACAATTGGAGACTACAGCCACAAATCTGCCGTACACGATAGCATAATCCATTGTATTACAATGACAATTGGAGACTACAGCCACAAATCTGCGATACACGATAGCACAATCCATTGTATTACAATGACAATTGGAAACCTCAGCCAAAAATCTGCCGTACACGATAGCATAACAACTGTTTTGATTGGAAATCGAGAGACAATAAGAGGTATACGAGTATATGCATGCACGGGTTTTTGATAGTGTAAAATGGTCGAAAATTTGTTTTTTATTCTATGATGAAAAAAAAGTCCAAAAAGTCAATTAAAATAAACACACAATTCTTCATATAATAATTTAATGAAGATGATGGATGGCTGTTTAACGTCCAGCGGCAAATTAATATGCATATTCAGGACGGGAACATTTTAATGTAATATGAATATTAACCACAGACACCGGATTTTTTACGTGCTAGTTCACAAGGTAACAAACAGTTCGCAGGATAACATGTCACCTTACCCGGACACATTCCGACTTCGAGCCGACCAATCTTTGCTCTTACTCTTTAATGCCGCGTGCTTAGCGGTGAAATAGCAAATACCAATTTTAAAGTCTTTGGATTGACTCGGGCGGGGTTCCAATCCACAACCTCCCGCACTCGAGGTTCTGTTCAAATATGAATAAAGATAAAGATAGACTCATATTGATATGAAAATATAAATAGTTATACATTACTTGTAAAAAGATATTTCATCTATAACTAACATTAAACTGCATGACTGATGTCACTTTTGCTGAAGCTCTGTGTCATTACACATACTCCATTTCTTATTACTTCATTTGGTTACAGCAAAAATGTGTGCCTCCTGCTCCACAAGAAGAACTCCATTATGGCGAGATGCTGAAGATGGGACCCCATTGTGTAATGCATGTGGTATAAGGTATATATAATTCTGTTTTCTTACACTATTTTTTTGGACCATGTATACAGTTATACCTGGGAACAGTATATGTTCCTGGTTATACATAACGATTTTTTTCATAAAAAGATGTTTACATTATACAAAATAATTAATTTTACACTATGAAATATACCATAGGCCTGCACTTAACATAATCTGTGTTTTCTTTTGTTGTCACAAAGTTGAAACTTTCCAACCCTGTGAAAATTGGTTAGTATCTTAAAGCACTTGCAACCATTGATGCTTATCAATAAAAATTTAATCAAAACTGTTGACTTCATCATAATCGTTTTACTTAGATATCATTACTGCATATCCATTTTAAATAATTGAAGTCGAATTATGGATTTTAAAGGACAAGACAGCAAGTGATGTAACACATATTTAACAAGTAGAGCATCTAAAATGTGCATTCTTTTACTGAGATATAAAGATTTGTTCATCCTCGAAAAGTCATATAATTCTCTGCCCATGACTCGGGAAATATGAATTTTCTTAGGTGAACAATTTTCCAATCTCCCAAGGCAAGGGGAATAAATCAAAAATACGACCTCTTAGCGGTGTTTTGAATAAAGTATTGGATACAATGGGTAACATATATAAGCTCACCATTAACATACTTGAGACCCAAAAGAAAAAGGTAATGATGTATAAAAAATTTGTATGCACGTCCTTCATTTTAAATATAGATGACGCATTGGAAATCGGCTGGTAAGTGAGTAGTAGTATCAGATCATTTATATTCCCCAAAAACCCGTGGCGTTGTGGCTGAACCATTTTTGGGCAGACCCCGCCCCCTCTACCCTTTTGGGTATTTTCCCTCCCCCATCCCGATAAGGTTAAAACCGGAAATGACGTCACCGGGATCAGTTTGAGGCTACGCTAGGTGTTAGGCGTTCACAAATATGGCCTGGATCCCATATATGGTCATGCCCCCTCCCTCCCCCACCAGGAGTCGATACATGGATTCTCGTTTTATTCATTCCGGAAGTAGACTATATATTTCGTTGTATATACCGCACCTCAAAATGAGTCACTACAAGACCTTATTTGGTCGTGCAATGTCTACCTTACGTCAGATGATTCACGCCACCCCTTTCATCAGAAGAGTCACCAGGACTTCCCAAAAACAGGATAGAATAGTGTGGACCCCTAAAGTGGCGTCATTTTCTAAAGTAGCAATACACAGCGGTTAGGAAAAAAACTTAAAATTGACACTCATAATTTCTAACCGGCACCTTTTTTCCCTTCCTTTTTAACAAATAAAACTTTATATTTGTATTATGCATGTGTATATTTATGGAAAGAGCATCTTCAATAGATTTTATTTCAAATAGTTATAATGGTGAAATATAATCTCTTTTTGGTGTAACCATGGCAACAATCTGCATTTATTTGATACAAAATATTGCAAAAAGGGGGGTGAAAATGCCACAAAAGTCTCAAAAATTTGGTCCAAAGGAGAATTTCAATCCATTAGAGTGATACCTTTCCTGAAACCATATACATTTATCTATCAAAAGGTCCCAAAAAAAATCATATGCATTTCTGCTCGTTTTTCCATAAAATTGAATTGAAAAGATCGAGGGTCAAATCTTTGTTGAAAAACATTACCCTTATTTCTGGACCTATGGACAGTTCGGATGTGAAAATACGGACTGTCAAACAGACAAATGGCCTATAAAACATGCTAAAAATAATCTAAATGTTCATATAAACCCACTTGGAAGGCTATATTATTCTTCTACTATCTAAAAATCAATTTTATTGTACAAAAACTTTCATATTTAAAAAAATCACCATGGCCAAAATGCGAAACTAAACTTCTAACTGTGTATTGCTACCTACGTAACACATGACTCTCATAGTCGGCATTGTAAGTACGTTTCATTATACAACAGCATGTCTCCCTATTTGGAAAATTAAAATTTAATAAAATTTTAAAATTTAAAATTCACAAAATACGAAAAATATAAATATTCAAGTTTTTTGGAAAATTAAAAATTTATAAATTTTTAAAATTCACACAATTCACAAAATAAAAAAATTAAAAAAAAATTCAAAAAATGTTAAGAATTTTTAAAAATTCAAAAAATCAAATTCAAAATTTAAAAAATTGAAAAAAAAAATTGGTAAATTGGTCAAATAAACTCATCATATATACCAGGATTGAAATTATGTATTTGCGCCAGACACGCGTTTAAAAACCCCTGCCGATTGAATTATCTGCAGAGACATTTCCCGCGCGTACGTTTCGATCACAAAGTCCGAGCAAAAGAAGACCCGTCTCGTTGGTATTGGAAATTTCGGGACGAACGATAACTCTAGCAGTGCACATTCCCATTCTCCGTCCAAAGTGTAGCTTTTGTGAAGCTGAATCCTAAATGCGCCACCGTTGTTATTTTCAAAAAGCGAAAGAGAATCCTCGCTCGATACGTAAAGGTAAAATTAGTTTAGTTACAAGTTTAGCTTCAGGCACTCATATAGACGTTTGATAGGTTGATCAATTTTATGCAGTGATTTTTTTCGATTTTTTTTTTTTTTATTTTTTTTTTTTTTTAACTTTTTTGATTTAATTATTTTTATTATTTTTTTTCTATTTTTTCAATTTTGAATTTGATTTTTTGAATTTTTAAAACTTTGAAAAACTTAAGTATTTTTTTGAATTTTTGAATTTTTAAATTTTTAAATTTTGTGAATTTTGTGAATTTCAAATTTTTATTTGAGGGATATGATTAAATTTTAGTTTTCCAAATAAGGAGAACTTATGCTGTTGTATAATGAACGTACGAACAATGCCGACTATGAGAGTCATGTGTTACTTAGAAAATGACGTCACTTTAGGGGTCGACACTATTCCATCCTGTTTTTGGGAAGTCCGGGTGACTCTTCTGATGGAAGGGGTGGGGGAATGGGATAAGATCAGGACCCTCTGTCATTCATCTGAAGAAATATTACACTGCATGAATATATGGGGACGGAACACGTCCTGGAGTGAATCATCTGACGTAAGGTAGACAGTACACGACCAAATAAGATCTTGTAGTGACTCATTTTGAGGTGCGGTATATACGACAAAATATAGAGTCTACTTCCGGAATGAATCATACGAGGATCCATGTATCGACTTCCGGTGAAGGGTGAAGGGGAGGGGGCATGACCATCATATGGGATCTAGGCCATATTTGTGAACGCCTAACGCCTAGCCGTAGCGGAGCCTCAAACTGATCCCGGTGACGTCATTTACGGTTATAACCTTGTCGGGATGGGGGACGGGGAAATACCCAAAAGGGAAGAGGGGGGGGTGTGTGTGCCCATAAATGGTTCAGCCACAACGCCACGGGTTTTTGGGGGGACTATAAATGATCAGATACTACTACTTATGCGGATTGGATTATTGTGCCTATTTTGTTTCACTTTACAGGGTGAAAATCTGAAGGCTTCTGAAACGTATAAATTCTGGCCGCTCTACGCTCCAGACAACCTAATTGTATAACCTACCGATTGCATTAATTGTTCATTTGTTCTCATCCAGAATACCAGTATGAATGACATATTTGCCACTGAACTCTTACCAAACAATCAATCAATCAATCACTCATCAGATGCATGTAGTCGTGCAGCAATATTGATCGAAACAGTTTGCAAAACGTTTTGCAAGAAAAGTTTTGTTTTAATTGTGAATAGAAAATTGCATCTTTTCGAGAATGGTCACGTGGTTCCCTTTCTACTTTACTGATATATATTTTGTTAATTAATATATTAGATTATATCAACTATTTTAGACTCAATGTGTTATAGATTTTCCCTTGGGTAACTTCTGCCTCTTTAAAAAAAAAATGACATGGAAAAGATATTTATATGGTGTAGATAAGTTACGGTCTTTACAAAAAAATTACAAAATGGTAACAAAAGTAGGGTGAAAAATTGTGCATATAGGGACAAAAAAAAGCCTAAATGGAAAACGAATGCTATAAAGCTATAAATATGAACTGAATGAGAAAATGTACGTCGACTAGGTCAACGCAAACTATGAATGTCCATATAACATGAAACCCATATCCATCATAAGCTATGAATGTCCATATATATAACATGAAACCCATATCCGTCTTTTTATTAGTTTTTGTTGCATCTACTAGAGGTGGCGTGTTGTCATCACCAGAATTGACGTTCTTTTCCATATTAGTAAACCACTCATGATTTTGTGATTAGCTTTATTATTTGAGCCTGTCATTCAGATCGGACTACGATTTTAGAGTTTATATCTTCGATAACATATGTTTTATCATTTTTCCCTGTATTTCTGTAGGTTTAAGAAGTATCGTATGAGATGTGGCCATTGTTGGCACATCCCCAAGAAGGATGTCAAGACTTATCCAAACTGTCCTGTCTGTGGATCAGTCCTACGAATTACCGTTGGTCGTCGGTCACCATGGTGAAAATACAGTTTTATAGCATGAGAGAATATTTGCAAGATCGAGAGTGTAATACTAGTGTGACGTTTTTTAAAGCCAGTATCAGCAAAATTATAACAAACAGTCTTAAAATAGGATAAGTTTTATATTGTGATGTAAAAAAACATTTTGACTTTAGCTGTTTATAAATTTTTTTACATTATGATCATCTTAAGTGTTCAAGATATTTTAGTATTGTTTTATTGACAAATAACATGTGATTGTACAAATTATTGTAAATACATATTAGTCATTTTTTCTCCATTCACGTCACTGATGATGTGCAAACATTTATACACGACAAGCGCAAGCTAATGTTTCTTATTTTATGGTGTTAAATACCGTCCTGCTATTCATGATCAGACGTATTAGTAGTTTTGCTACAACTAATAGTTTGTGTTCCACTAGCATTATCACATTCAACAAAAATACTTAGAAATAAGATTAAAATCTCCCTCGTTGTAATATTCTCTCATGTGTACATTTAAAAGAGGAGGTATGATACGAACCATTTTCTGGACCCCTGAAACTACAATTTGATATTAAACAGTGATATTCTTATGATGATGTAACCTGTACATGGTCGTTTTTACACATACTGTTTGGGTGAGTATGAGCTACAGCCTTACCTGTAAAGATAATTATGATACTCACATTGGCATCTATGTATACGATACCATGAAGCAAAGGCTGGGGCTAATTTTCAAAATATAATAACGGTTCGAAGTGAATATAGTTTGACCTTTTTTGCTGTTTTGCATTAAATGCAAGGTTTGAATTCCTTGAGCAAATATGTAAAACAAAATTCAAAAATATAAATACTGGCATCAGACAACATGTCTTTCTTGTGAACATTTGACGGATTTTATTAGATTGCTTTTTTACTTTGATTATCAAAGTCAAGGGGACAGAACCAGTGGCCTTAACATATTTTCTCTTTTGGGGATATGATTAAATAAGTCTTCAAAACTTTAGTTTGTTTCTACATAATTTTTAGTTTTTCTCATTTGTGAATTCTGTTATTTTTTGTTTTCTTGAAACACAGATAGTGTTTTCAGATTATTATTTTGTTGAACCATTCATGTGATTTCCAAAATACTTATTAATATATTTAGTTCGAATAATTTGTTTGTTCTTACAGATATTATCCGCCGGTGGGTTTGATAATTATCGCATGTATGGACATTTATGATATTTGTTTTGTTCTTATTTAAACACAGGTAGTGTTTTTGGTGTTATGAGGACTTTAGGAATACTCTCTGGATCCACATGTTTATGGGAGTCTGCATATGACTTCCATTTATTCCTTGACTTAAGTTTAACATTTGAAGTGATTGCTTAGATAACAAGTTACATGATGATGAGCGGCACTGTATAAGAGATTTGTTAACAATATCATACCTATTATTAAGCCCTCCTCTTCAATGGAACAGTTCAACTTATAAACATTTAAATGGCCAGGTAAACACCAACTGATTCTGGGGAAAGGTTTTATTTCCTTTGCAATAAGTGTAAACTGATTTTTGGCATTATAATAGTGCAATTCCATGACTGCATGTGATCTACATAAGTGATATCTAAAATAATGAATTTAATATTTCAGAGAATTTACGAAAAATATATTTATTGTTATTTTTGTAAGATTTATGTATAGAGAGTTATTTTTGATAATAAATTTATTTGTTACAAAATTTTGTTATTTTATCATTTTGAACTAAAAAATCTGCTTGTTTAGTGTCTTTCATCGTAGCCGAGATGAAATCATGCATTGAGAACTTGGTAAGATCATCCAAAAATCAATATAATCCTTCTGAAGGCATGGGAAGGACATAGAGCAAATAATTCGAACACACCGTAGGAAAAGACAGGAGTATTCAATTTTATAAGTAATCCGTTGAATACTAAACTAAACCAAAATCTCTTGCTTCTGTTGTATGTGTAGAATTTGGATTGTAAAATATGGATTTTAATGAGAAAATTTACATCCTTTTCATAGTACTTGAAACAAAAATCAGGTCTCTGTACCATCACTACCCAAACTTAAACTAGACCTTTCTCAACCCATTAGGAGACATTTCAGGATTTTCCTTCGGAAGGATGCACGAGAGGCAATTTTTATTCTATCTTTTTATTGTTCCTGATATTTAAATAAACAATTTCATGACGGAAAATTTATTTTGTACACGTCTTTTTAATTGCAAAGAGTGAATATAAAAACAATCGCGCAATTGGGGCTGTTGGTGGGATTAAAATAAGAAATTATGAATGATTTATATATTATTTGTTTTTATCTTAAACACGTGACTTGAACCTGAAGCCAGTATGTACAATCATACTAAAACGGTCTGCAATAAGGAGATATGGTATGATTGCCAATGGGTCTTGAGCCTTATACAAGGAATACCTGCACACTGCCGATAAATTTTATTTCCGAAACGTGCATATAGATGTTGTCAAGGAGAAAATGTACAGCTTAAACATCTCGTCACAATTCCGGCATATATATCTAGCATACTTTCCTTTTTTCATTACAGAAGGTTTTATACGAGTTGCCGCAAATAAATCTGCAACCAGATTTTTCAAATGACCATTTAATTAAATGAGAGAACCTCTGCTTCATCAGATTGTGTGGCAGTGTATTGGAAAGAGGTGAAAAATCATAGGCTAGCTGTCAACCGAATTGAACAGACCATCAAAAGCACGTTATTTATTCAAAACATCCAGAGTTTTTGATACTCCAAACTAGTTAATTCCATTATTTTCATACGCTGTATTGCAAACATTAATAACGAATTCTTAGATAGAAGTAAAGAAGAAGTTAACAGCATAGAAAGATTAGTAGTGGAACACTTAAAGCCGAGATGAAACGAAATTTAAACGGGAATTTTGTAGTTTAGGAAGCCAACACATAGTAGATCATAATAGGGACTTTATAATTTTCAGAAGATGCCTCAAGCTGTGGTAGGGACATGATAATTTACAATTTGACTCTCTTTGGAACGCACGTTCTTTATTATATAATTCCATCTTCAGAACTTCCGTGTAGTACCTACGTCATACCACTACAACATTGTTGGCTGCTTTGTCGGCCGGTACGAACACAAAACGCTTTGCAAGTATTTGAATTTCAATTTAAACCTAGAAATGGGCGTATCATTACTTTCTAAATTATTTTTGAAAATGTGACATGCAAATATCCACAATATTTTAAAAGACATTTATCAAAATAGCATGAGGTGACTTTTTTCCCTGTTTACACCAATTTTTCATAATAGGATGAAAGAGCATCTTTAATGATCTGACGACACTCTTTCAAATTTATTTCGACGATAGACGATAATTTTGTTCTTTTTTTCAAAATTTTATAACCTATCGGTCTTGAACGACGTTGGGGTCCCCTGTAATTACATTGCCATATCTAAACTTCGATGTTTAACAATCTCATGTTGAGGTGGCATTGTTTTCTCTCCTGACCTGTTACCTGTTATCTGTCTGGTAGGTTCACCCTTTCTAAGGGTCACCCCCAGTGGGATTTATTTAGGTTAGTATTAAATATGTACATTATTTACTGTTGTACATTTAAACTTTTTAAAATATCAATACCTGAACAGTAATACCATAAACCAAGAAACTCCTACTTTCACTTGATAGATATAAGAAGATGTGGTATGAGTGCCAATGAGACAACTCTCCATCCAAGTCAAAATTTATAAAAGTAAACCATTATTAGATAGACTGATATAGTTCATATAGATAAATTTAGCTCTTGTTCAGTAGGGTTGTCCGTTTTGTATGTAGACCATAGCATAATGTTCTTGTGATATTCTGAATGTCTCTGATATTTTGATGTTTGATGTTAACTATTTGCTTGATCTTTTCAGATGATGAGTCCATAATAAACTGCACCATGAGTCCTTTATCCACAATTTTATCAAATATCTCGTTGCCTATGTTGTTGATCACTTATGATTTTAGTGTTGTTAAATGTTTATCTCTTTCGGTTTTCAGTGCATTGCATTCTAGCATAAAGTGTTCTGTATCTTCCGTAGCTGAATTGCACAATAGGCACATATCCTGCTCCACATTTCTGCTAAACTTGGCACGGTCTATTTGCAGTGTATAAGTCCTATAGTTATGAGCTTTGCTTTTATTTCTGCTTTTTTTACTTCTAAAGTATTATTTGAGGTGAATTTCCATATTTGATGAGCTTTCCAATTGGCCTTGTTTTAATATTCATATATTTCATTGTAGATTTTTCAGATTTTTTTATCTCCCATTTCTCTGCCCAATATTGCTGAATGGCACACTTGACAGTTGTTTTCCATTTTTCCCTAGTTGGTTTGACTAATAACAGTTCCTGAGCTTTTGGTAGTTTGAAGTCTGATGTAACTGACGTATAATTAGAAATTAAACTTCTGCATACCTATTGGGTTTATTCTTAAATTGTTCTCGTCCTGAATATGCATGAAATATTTGTCAATATAAATTAAGAGAGCAACAGTAACAAGTCGAGCTTTAATGTTAATAGAAATAAGAAGATGTGGTATAAGTGCCAATGAGACAACTCTCCATCCAAATCACAATGTGTAAAAAGTAAACAATTATAGGTCAAAGTACGGCCTTCAACACGAAGCCTTGGCTCACACCGAACAGCCAGCTATAAAGGGCCCCAAAATGACTAGTGTAAAACAATTCAAACAGGAAAACCAATGGTCTAATCTATATAAAAAAACGAGAAACGAGAAACACTTATGCACCACATCAACAAACGACAACCACTGAACAACAGGCTCCTGACTTAGGACAGGTGCATACAAATGCAGCGGGTTTAAACGTTTTAACAGGCGCCAACCTTCACCCTAAACTGAAACAGTAGTGTAACATTACAACATAAAAAGACACACTATAAAATATCAATTGAAATGGCTTAACTCGATCAAAGACATATAAACAAAAGTAAACATACACTTAACGAATAAATTTGATCTATGACACAATATAAATACAATATTAATAAATAAATGGGGAATGTGTCTATGGGATACAGATGATGCCCCCGCTTGCATACAACGTTATAAAGGAACATAACTCAAGAAAGGTAAAAGTGACGCTATCCAAATTCGTACTTGATCTGAGTTTTTGTGGTAATAAGCATTGTGTATAAGTTTCATAACATTTGGTTGATGCAAACTTAAGTTAGAAAACGGAAACGAAAAATTCAGCAATTTTTCCATTTGTAAAGGGACATAACTCTAGCACGGTAAAAGTGGCGCCACCAAAATTCAAACTTGATCTGTCACTGTGTATTGTGGTAATAAGCATTATGTATAAGATTCATAACGTTTAGTTGAGGCAAACTAAAGTTAGAGAACAGAAACGAAAAATTCAGCAATTTTTCCATTTGTAAAGCGGCATAACTCTAGAATGGTAAAAGTGATGCCACCCAAATTCAAACTTGATCTGTGTTTTGTGGTAATAAGCATTGTGTATAAGTTTCATAACATTATAGCATTTGGTTGAGACAAACTTAAATAGAGAACCGAAACGTAAAATGCAGCAATTTTTTCATTTGTAAAGTGGGGCAAAATTCTAAAACAGTATAAGTGATGCCACCTAAATTCATACTTAATCTGTGTTTTGTGGTAATAAGCATTGTGTATAAGTTTCATAACATTTGGTTGAGGCAAACTAAAGTTAGAGAACGAAAACCGGACGTACGGACGGACAGACGGACAAGGGTCATAACATTTGGTTGAGGCAAACTTAAGTTTGAGAACGGAAACGAAAAATTCAACATTTTTTCCATAAATGGGCATAACTCTAGAATGGTAAAAGTTGTGTCACCAAAATCCAAACTTGATCTGTGTTGTGTGGTAATAAGCATTGTGTAAAAGTTTCATAACATTTGGTTGAGGCAAACTGAAGTTAGAGAACGGAAACGTAAAATTCAGCAATTTTTCCATTTGTAAAGGGGCATAACTCTTAAACAGTATAAGTGACGCCACAAAAATTCAAACTTGATCTGTTTTTTTGTGGTAATAAGCATTGTGTATAAGTTTCATAACATTTGGTTGAGGCAAACTTAAGTTAGAGAACGAAAATCGGACGTACGGACGGACAGACGGACAAGGGTAAAACTTAATGCCCCCTCCGCTACGGCGGGGGCATAAACAGATGTAAGTCCAAAAAGACCAGCAAATGCCACAAGTGCATGGCCTCAAGTCGCACAAATGTTGTTTCACTAAATCTTCAGTGTTCTTTTCTGACTTTTTAGGTGACTGTTAATCCCTCGATTTCATTTTCGTTTTGTTTTGATCGTCCCCAATGAAGGCGAATCCAGACAAGCACTTCGGCCGGACCAAATTTGTAAAGTAATTTTGATTTTTTAACCCTAAAGGTGTCCATAGTTTTAATGTTTCTTTTGTATTTCTAAATGTTTCCACGTCTATTGTAACATTCAGATCTTAGGATAATCCGGTAATGCGACCCTATAATTTTGGTAAATGAAAATGCCCTTAATCATTGACAGAAAGAAATATATTTTCTTTTTTGCTTGTTTGCTTAACATTTTTATTAGGAAACATCCACTTGGTTGTCTTAAGATTTCCAATGAACACACAGAAGGCTTTTTTCAAACTATTAATTTGATAATTTAAAAACCGATTCGTCTACAACACAAAAGTTTTGCACTGTAATTGTAGAAGGCTGTATGTTTATTTGCATTGTATTTAGTAGGTTGCCTGTTCACTTTGTCCTCATTTGAGTATGTGATCTCGAGCTCATTATAACAAAACCTGCACGTACACTTTGGACATACTGTAAAAAAAGAAAGAAGATACCAATTTGGCAATAAAAATCAAGTTGAAGAACAGCGTCATAAATATGTATGAATATTTGACACTGGACGTAAGGCAAACAACCAACAGAAGAAGGAGACAATACGACGTCCAAATTTCACGGTGAAAGTCTCCAAAATGAAACCGTAGACTCGCCGACAATGATATACAATTTATGCCTTTAAGGCTTGTATTTTTAGACTTAAAAGAAAGTAAACCAGAATCGGGAATTTAAATAGGGAGCCATATATAGTATTTATTTTATTATAATGATAAGATGAATCGTAATAAATGTAAATATATACTCCCTTCTAAAATGTTGGTACACATATTTTATTAAGTGCACCTTTTGAAAATTTCATTTTCAATCTATCTTCAATGAGATTAGAAATGCTGCTGTGACCAAGTGTTCATCACAATACCAAAAGTGAACGAGCAACATTTAAATGCAAAAGGGGTATTCTAGATATTGACTACCCATGACGATCTCACAAAGAACATAGCTACTACAGGGGTGTTCAAGATATTGACTACCATGACGATCTCACACTTACCATAAATACTACCAGGTGTTCAAAATATTGACTACCCATGGTGATCTCACACAGAACATATCTACTATAGGGGTGTTCAACATATTGACTACCCATGACGATCTCACAAAGAACATAACTACTACAGGGGTGTTCAACATATTGATTACCCATGACGATCTCACACAGAACATATCTGCTACAGGGGTGTTCAACATATTGATTACCCATGATGATCTCACAAAGAACAAAACTAGAATAGGGGTGTTCAACATATTGATTACCCATGATGATCTCACAAAGAACATAACTACTACAGGGGTGTTCAAGATATTGACTACCATGACGATCTCACACTAACCATAAATACTACCAGGTGTTCAAAATATTGACTACCCATGGTGATCTCACACAGAACATATCTACTATAGGGATGTTCAACATATTGATTACCCATGATGATCTCACAAAGAACATAACTAATGCAGGGGTGTTCAAGATATTGACTACCCATGGCGATCTCACACAGAACATAACTACTACAGGAGTGTTCAAGATATTTACTACCATGACGATCTCACACAGAACATATCTACTATAGGGGTGTTCAAGATATTGACTACCACGACGATCTCACACTAACCATAAATACTACCAGGTGTTTAAGATATTGACTACCCATGGCGATCTCACACAGAACATATCTACTATAGGGGTGTTCAAGATATTGACTACCATGACGATCTTACACTAACCATAAATACTGCCAGGTGTTCAAAATATTAATTACCCATGACGAACTCAAACAGAACATAACTTTTGTAGGGGTGTTCAATATAATGACTACCCATGACGATCTCACACAGAATATAACTACTACAGGGGTGTTCAACATATTGACTACCCATGACAATCTCACACAGAACAGCGTGTTCAAGATATTGACTACCCATTACGATCTCACACAGAATTTATCTATACCATATGGCTTAACAACATACAGGAGTATTCAAGATATATTGACTATCCATGACGATCTAACACAGAACATTACTACTACTTGGTGTACACGATATTGACCACCCATGACGATCTCACAAAGAAAATAACTTCTACAGGGGTGTTCTAGATATTGACTACCTATGACGATCTCGCACATAACATGGTGTTCAAGATATTGACTATCCATGATGATCTCACACAGAATTTATCTATACCTTATGACTTAACTCATTCGACCCCAAGAGATTTCTGGAAAATCAGGCATTTTCGAAAATTTGCAAACTTAAACAAATTATATGCAAATTAGTAGACTCTTGATGCTGTAACTGATGCTGATCTATTAAACTCTGTATTTAGAATTGGGATGGATTGCATGGGTGGGGTGGGGTGTATTTTCTGGTGGGTTAGAACCCACCCCTAGTGAAAAATGGTGATTTTCAGTCTATTTTACGATTTTAATACGACTTTGAGAGGTGAACATTTACCAAATTGTGTTTCTTTGTCATTTATGTATTACTTTATAGTTACAGCAGTCCATCCATACTGACTGGAAGTGAATGTGACTTTAGTGTGTTGCTGGGGAATTATTATTGTCAAGCCAGGTTTGCCTAAATGCTCGTTTTAACGGATTTCTGACGAAACGGTTACCTAGATTTTACAGACCAGATTTCTATTGGCCATATTAAACCTCCTTGTGTTCCTGTACCACCTATGCATGTATTTGTGACAATAGTTTATACCTACAGCCCATACTAGTAACGTTGTGCCCATCAAAAGACGCCCACCCCACCCGATTTTGGCTACAATTCACGTTTTTCCGATTTTGATAAAAACACATCTGAGAAGAGCTTATGGACAATGAATTGCATGGTTGAAGTCCCTGCTGTCAAGGCAGTTCAGCTGGGGCAGTTCTAAAAAAAGTATGAAGGGTCATACAGGCGGGATTGGGGGCGAAGGGGTTAAGGGTTGGGGACATTAAAAAACACAGTGTGATGTTTTATGAAATTTATTTTTGTGACAACAAAGGCCACAGCTTACAAGACATGAACAGTGCATACAATATAGAACCTACACTAAAGTCCTGTAAGCCTTAGGATTACAATGAAGCAAAACTATAAACCTCAAATCAGAGGCACTGTATTTGTACATCAACTTCTTAACAAACTTGTATAATAAAATTCAAAATTAGTTGGCCTCTTAATTAGTACTGTTAAACCATTTAACCAACTTTAAACTTTGTTTAGACAGTATGTTAACATGTAAATCTCAACGACATATATCTTATGGATAATGTAAATCTTAATTAAAAAATCATTTTAAGAAATCTGATTTACCATCTTTTACAGATGAAAAAGAAGTCTGTCTGAATTCAGTAACGACTTATTGAAAAAGACATGGCAGGTTAAGACAAAAATCACCAAATGCTGATTTGATTACAGATTATCTCAATTCTTCATGGTTTTGCAAAGTTTTTCTAAAATTTATGATAATGTACCAGTTATAGATAATAGTTGATGATTTTCAACTTTATTAACTTTTATAATAAACTGGTTTTAGAACAAAAAAGAATTCAATTTACACCAAGATTCATGTTATCTCTCCGAAACCTTTTTGTAAAAAGTATGTGTGCTATGAAATTCTACAGCAGTATCTATTTATCAGATACAGTTACTGTGAATGAATTTCTAATATTCTATACACAATTAATCATGTAAGGATGATCTGTATCTTTAAGTGAGAAAGGTAGATAACTCATAACATAAACCATGTAAAACTGTAACATATCTGTAACTATCAATGTATAAGGCAAAATCTTCACAACCAATTTATACAACAATATTTTTGGGGATATGTTAACATATCCTCACTATTATATAGTAAACTACTCCATCCTTAATAATCTCATGGTATAATTTATAATCAGGTTTCTTTCACTGTAATACTTGTATTTGGGAAAAAAGACATATAAACAGAAGCCTAAAAATTGATTTTAAATATGAGGCCATATCAATATCCTAAGGGCCATCTCTGTATTATTTTCTTCCAACATTTCCACATACAATGTCATTTTCTTATCTCCAACTATTTTGGATAAAAACAATAATAAGAAATTTGCCAAATATGCTTTATATATAAAGAAGTACAATTTGATGGTCAATTCATTTTTGGTTTTACATTTATTAGAAAAAGCTATTTTTTGCAAAAAAATTCATTTCAATTTTTTCCAGTGGTATTTTTGTACTTATAACGGATTATCAATTACATTTTTGTAATTAGTTTTATGTTTTATGTTTTTGGTAGGGTTTTATATAACATGCATCACATGTCTAACATGTGACCTATAAAAATATATATCAATTATCTAAAACTTTCCATGCTGTATGTGTGAAAGAGAAATCAAATGAACTGGTCTATTTTAAATTGTCAATTAACTTGACTTAAACAAAAGTAATATATATATACATACACAGAATATCACTCAAATCTTAGGATTTCATCATAAATAAATGGTGACTAGATCAGGTTACTTTGGTATTTGATTTTTATATAAAAATATACAGAAAACTAAGAAAATATGGCTGTGAATTATTTACAAAAATGTCATGACAATAATATTCTGAGTAGACACAGCATTGAAATAAAAATCATAATGTGTTTAATGTTCTCTCTGCTGACTGCCATTTAGATTTATTTTGATTAACCTCATAAAAAAAGAAGAAAAATGGGATAACTCAATAAAATAATCAAGAATACTGTAAGGCAATGTGTCAAAATATGGTGAACTGATATATACTCTTGTATGAGGATAGCCAGGGTTTTTAGTTACGCCAATAAATCTAAGACTCATAATCAACATGTTGCATCTAATCAAACTGAACTTGAAATTTACTCATGAAAAAAAAAAATGATGATATATTTATTAATAATTGTAAAAATGAGTTGATAACATACTTAGTAGAAAAAATGTACTGTAAATTGGTTTATTCTCGTGGAATTAAAATTTCAGGGCAACACCTGTTCGTGAGGCTTTATTTTTGCATGATTCTCATCTTCCTAAAGGATAAATTTGTTTAGTGTGCATATTTTAACCTCAATGGTGATTTCAGCGAAAAAATAAACTCACGAAAAATCTCCCATTTTACAGTTAACGATGCTAAAATGCTGTATCTACTGTAAATTACACTGATATATTATGCAATGCAAAACAATACTGTCATCTATTTATATATATATAATATTTAAAAAAAACATCAACAATGGAATTATGATGTAATATATTGCAAAAAAAAAATGAATATATCCCATCTTTAAGATGGTATAGCACCTTCAAATCTAACTGAATTTTTAAATTAAAAACATTTTTTCTTTTAAACTATGTATTCTTTTTTTCAACTATTTTTCCTGCCAGAAATACCAAAAAAGGGGAATTTAAATTATTGTAAAATTTAAATACCTTTAGTTGATAACATTTTTATACAGTAATGAAAAAATAAAAAAATTCAAAACAAAGCCAAAAAAAATAACGGTAGTGATTTTGTAAAATTAAAACAAAGGAATATAACAATCAACACAAATAAGCACTTTAATGTGACAATTTAGAGGCTGCCAAGCACAGACAAACAAATAACATCTCAATCAACAGTTACTTCCCCTTATGCCAAATTTTCAATCCACCACAGTCTTTAACTTTTCTCCTACAATTCAAAGTTTCTTACAAACTTGACATCACAATATTCCCTCATGAATTAATAAACTTTGTTTTATGTCATGTGACAAATGAAGTAAGAGATGAGAAGTTGGTTCCTACAGGTACATGCAAAGCACATCTGAGACCTGGTTGGTTAATGAGCTCTAATACACCGGTCTGTAATAGTTAACATTTTTTTGATTGGCAAGGAGATAACTATTTACTAACACTCATTATAATCTACTGTCCTTTGTTCTGGAATGTAACTATTCTGTGACATTAAATTTGAAAACTTTTGACACTCAGACACGTCTATTGTAGCTGGTCCAGTTAAAGTATTACAGTTTGAGACATTAGGTTTATAATTTGATGAAGCACCACTACTAGATGATTGTTTACTACTAGCTATTGAGCCAGCTGGCGATAATTTTGAAGGTCCATTATGGTTCGGCATCTGATTGGGTGGAGGTCCTCGTTGCATTAATATAGGACCTTGACCAGGGTACTGTTGCATTTGTTGCGGACCTAAGTTAGGATAATAATGAACACGTGTTGAATCCTGGTAATTTGGAGGGGGTTGGCCCATTCCTGGATGGACCATTCCTGGATGGCCCACCATTCCCGGATGGGACATTGTTGATGATGGGTCTGATCCACCACTACTTCCTGTCAGGCCAGTCATTGCTGTTGTATTACTTGGACCAGTGCTACTATGATGACTTGGTCCACTTTGAGAACTCTGATGTGTACTGCCTGAATGTGCTGAATGACTCTGGCTTAAGCTCCAGTGTGGATTTAACATTAATACTTCAGTCTTCCATGCTCGAAGACGTGCATGTATTTCTCTGAAAGTTGGTCTCCTGTTTGGAACCTCATGCCAACATTCAACCATAAGACCATATACTCTTGTTGGACACTCCTCTGGTGAAGGCAAGATTTGCCGAGCTCTTACAACTTCAATAACTTCTGGATTAGAATAACCATAGTATGGTTGTAAACCAAAGCTGAATATTTCCCACATGACAACACCAAATGACCATATATCTGTTTCTGTGGTGAATTTTCCATACAAAATGGCCTCTGGTGGCATCCATCGTACAGGAAGTATGGATTTACTTTGAACTCTGTAATAGTCTTGTGAATATATATCTCTAGATAGACCAAAATCTGAGATTTTAACACACATATTGTCACCAACAAGTATATTTCTGGCAGCTAAGTCTCTGTGTACATAATGGTGGCTTGACAAGTATTCCATGCCAGCAACAATTTGTGTAGCAATGTGTAATAAGTCTCCATATTCTAACGCATGTTTTAAACCTTCTGATTCATTGGATAATCCAACATCTGAATTAGGTGAATGAGTAACAAGGTATTCATGCAAGTCACCTAGCTGCATGTATTCAAATAACATACACATAGGTTCTTGTTTCATGCAAACACCAAGTAAACACACAATGTTCCCATGTCTAAGTTCAGACATCAGGTCAACTTCACGTCGGAAATCGTTCTTAACTTTTGGTAAAGAGTTCTCTTTCAAAGTTTTAATGGCCACTTTAGAAATCATATTATCACCATAGAGTCCAAGCACTTCTCCTTTAAACACTTTTCCAAACTGTCCTTCACCTAATTCCTGAAGGAACCTGATAGAAGATATTGGAAAGTCTCTTACATTCATGGCGGATTTGAGTGGAACAGTTTCCATGTTAGTAGCCGGCTGATCAACTTTAGTTTTGACACCAGCATCTTTTTGTTTTTTATGTCTCTGACACAAACATGCAATGGCAAGTAGGATTATTAAAGCTAGTGGCACAATGATTCCTGGTACTAAATACATTAATTTGTTCACTGGTTCTGCTCCAATAGCTCCTTGACCGGGACCAGCACCAACTGAAATGGAGGGAAAAATTCTGGTTATTGGATAATATGATAATATGCTGTCAACCATCAAAAGTAAAGTTTATCGCTACTGTAAATTGAGAAATTATGTTTTTTTTAAACATACATGTAGTAGAGAATTGATAAGAAGTAGTGGATTCGTAAACGATAATCAACTTATCAATTCTCTAGCTTAACCCATTTCTAGTAAAACGACTGTCTGTTTTATGTTTTGACAATGAATCAACGGAATTTCATAAAAATAATTTCGTATTTTGTCTTTTTTATTTTATAATAGCTGGAAATGATTATATCCACACGGTTCACGTCTATATTTAAGTTAACATAAGTTTAATATAACTTAAATGGGTTGTTAGCTCCCCTTTTTATTACCAGATTTCATACTTGTATATTTATATTTCATTTAATGCTTTATCATTACAAAGTATTTAAATTATATAGATTTTGGTATTTATGATTTATGATTTATTCAAAAAGACATATATAAATATACAGAATTTATTTATCTTTTTTTGAATAGTTAAAAAATTGTAAATTCCAAAATTTAGAAACCTTTGAAATTTACATATATAGTATTTAGCAATCTGCTATTGTTGACAGCTGATTAAGGATTGTCTACAATTTAACCGTACTAAGTCAAATACATATATTTAGCGTAGTTGCCATAATACTACAATTTCATGATGCTCCAGTTAATGATGCTTTCCGAAATAAAATAATTGCTTAATGTCTTTTTTGAACAATTATACATGAATTTTGTTTAAACTGTTTCCCTTTCATTAAGTTTAGATTATTTTTAACGTTATTACATTTGGCATCCATCGTAAACCAGTCAATAAACTAGTATTATCTGTGGTACGCATTCTGAATCTCCAGCAGAATTGCTCTTGCTACAGATGTACAATGTATAATTATGTAAATTTTTTACTTTTACATTCAAGCTGTTCATAGCCGTGATCGTCTAGTCGTTGGTACCGAAAAACATAACTGTGACATTAACAGTGCCAAGTTCAAACCTTATACCCGAATTGAAATTTTTTCATTGTAATTTTTTTCTCGACAAAAATATTGTTTTAATCTTAGAGGTATTATATACTTCATTTTCATTTAAAGGCTATGATTTTGTTTCTGGTTTTACAATCAAAGAAGTAGTTTTACGGTCGTAGCTTATATATCACACTTTATTCAAATTAGAGTCCGTTCAATGTTGATGTGATGTATATTTGGACCATTTATAATAAAACAAAGAAAAAAATATTGATAGTACGATATCAATATAAGACTAAAACCATAAGTAAGTATTTTCTATGATAAAAAGGAAAAGTCCTTGTACGTTAAAAGTGACAAGTGTAATGGGCATATGAATGTTTATTTTATCAAGGAATTACACTAATATATACAATTCCTTGATTCTCTAGTGTTTAGAACTAGTGTGTAATAGCCACAATTGTATAAAGACCCATCGGTTCATTATAACAATGTTGAAAATCGACCAATGTTCAAACCTGACATCGTAAATAAACTCTGTTTTAAGATATTTCCATACTGCTATATAACTATAATCAAGAACGTTCAAATGTAGAACATAATCTTCCTTAAAAAATAACGCCCAAAATAAAACAATTTAAATAAATTTGAAAAGAACATGAACAAATCCAGACATAGTATATATATTTTATTAGATAACAAAAGCGAATTATCTCTGAGACATACAGTTTATTGACATGTATTGACAGTTGTGCGCTTTATGAGTGTTATTTAAATATTGATTTATGTCAGCACTCGTGGTATAGTGGTATCATGCATAGACTGAAGACTCTACTGATTATGAAGAAAATACGCGAGAGTTCGAACCCTTCTTATGCCACTCGTTTTTGAGAGGATAAAAAATCGTAAGTTAAAAGTTTAAAGTTATAAAATAAGTTATCTTAAGTTAACGAAGTGGTCAGTGGATTCTTGAAAAATAATCTACTGTAAGAACAATAGACTGACGTCAGAGAAATGGGTTAAGCATGCAGCATTTCCTCAAATAGCAACCATTTATCTCACATTCTTCAACAATCACAATAATATATTCACACAAACAATTTCTGAATTTACAGTATATAAATTTATATCCTCTTTTGTTTTGGCATGTGTGCTTTTTTCATAAATATGTTTGACAACAGAGGTCATATCCCACATTTTTCACATTGACATGCATTGCTATAGCCTATATGATATATAATATCTTACTTTTTTCAAGGTCAGGTGTTGTCAAATATTCTATCTGATACAGTATAACAGTATAAAAGAGGTGCTCAGAGAAGTGACAGAAGTTATACTTAACCTTTGTATAAGAAATATATATAATGCATTTGTAATTGGCGAAGTAACATTTGAGTTATTTTTTGGCTGGGACTTTCTTCTTGCTAACTGGAGATAACCCACATTATTCAACCTTTATAGGGTTTTCCAAGGGGCCTGGGACCCTCCTTTTGTGGGAAAAATTTGGTTGATTATTTAGGGAATCACTGAAGCATGACTGGAGCGGGCCCTCTCTTAGGTAGTCAGTGGGCCCCCTTATGAAAATTTCTGGATCCGCCACTGCAATACTTAAAATTAAGAATAACTTATGTACCTTATCTGGAGGCCTCTATTAAATATTGAAAAAACATTCTGTTTTATTTTTTTCTTCTTTAATGCATATATTGATGATAAAATTGTTAATAATGTTTTATTTGTAAATGAGAGTCATATAATTAAGTAGTTGTATTAAAAAGGTCTGTTTATTCTACAGGACAACACTGTAATTGTAAAAATGGAGTTTGTTTCAGTGTTAGGACATAAAATATTATTATTTCAAGTTAAAAACTATTAATACTGAGGGGAGCTAACCCTCTGATGAAATTTAATGACATCAATAAAATCTGAAAAATAATGAATATAAAATGGATGTACTTGGACAACAATCCCATGAAATACTAATATATAACAATAAATCACAGGACCAGTGTTTTTATTGCAGCTCTTCATCTAGATAGTTGCTGAAGGTCTTAAAGAATAGGCTGAAGAGATTAAACTGTACAGCATGATCAAGAGGACACCTGACATCAGCTTAACCTTAAAATTTTAATATTCAATTATAACTGTTTGATACTGTTAATTCAGAAATTAATGCGAGGTTTTTATTAATGCAAATAACGCTACTGGGTGAGTATTGCAATAATAAAAACTTGCATTCTGATATCAAATACATATATATGTATGAAGCTTTTCCTAAAATTGCAATTATTAAACTTGCATTTTTGTTTATTTTTTCAAAAATCGCAATAATAAATGAACGCAATGATTTCTGAATTTACAGTACATATTTTTTAGGATGTCTGTACATACCACATTTAGGGATATCACATAATTCTGTGTGATGATATGAAGGATCAGTATAGCACCATGGTCCTGTATATGTACCATTCGGGTTTCTACACAGGTGATGGTTTCCTAAAAAAACATTTTTTAATGATAACATTATATTATTTTAATATGAAGAACAACAAGAATATGTGTCCATAGGACACCATGCCCCACTCCCACTATCATATTTCCATGTTCAGTGCACTGTGAAATTTGTCAAAACCCTAATTTGGTCATTTCATAATGAACATGTGTAGTAAGTATCAAGTTGATGTAACCACAAACTATCTCAATCCAGAACTTAAACTAACATTAACCAAAATTTTAACCTGATACAGGACGGACAGATGCAAAGACTGGAAAACTATGGAAGATAGGGCTTAAAAAGATAATGAAATATTTAGTTTTATCCAAAAAAAGCTGAGAGTATTCATATTTTCTATTGATGGAAATACAAGAAGTTCCCAGTTTGTGAAAAAATCAGAAAAAGCATGTACATGAATCTGACCAAGAATTTTCAAATATTCTTATACATATGCTTTTGATATGAGAGCAAAATGAAGATGAAATTAGATGAGCATATCTATGTTTTCTATTGATGAAAATACAAGAAGTTCCAAGTTCTTGTAATTTGAACAAAATCATTTACATGATTCAGATCAGCTCTGAAAATATTTTAATGTCTTTAAAATATATTATGCAATCCTGTTATCAGGGCAAAGAAAACCTTTGTTTTGCTTCTCTGAATGATATATGGATCATGAATGGAGTAGAACTGAACACTAACAATATCCAGATAAATGATGATTGTACTCACAAAGCTTAACTCCGACATAAATTAATGTGCCTGTCCCAAGACAGTAGCAATGTCAGTGATATTTGTTGATTCTTAATACTTTTTTTGTCAATTTAGATTTTCATGTCTCAATTTTAACAGTGACAAAGAGCTTAACATATGATATAGATGTTTGTCTATTATGAATGCCGCCCTTTACATGTCTTTTTTGTTAAATTGTGTTGTTTTGTAAGAGAGTCATTGAAGTTAAACCAAACATTTTTTTTACATCATATGTAAAGGTAGAGGCTAAAAATAATCTATAAATAGTAGAAGGAGAAACATCTGCCTAACACAGATCTTTGGTAGTCACTGTTAAATTTATAAACGATGCTTGTCTTTTATTTAAACCCGTATTTTGACATGAAGATGTCTGTTTTTCTTATTATCCACTAACCTAGATCAGGATATTCACTGCCTTTAAAATGTGGATTATTTTTCCAGTTCATACACGGCCTTCCAGACCGGCTGTGATTGATAGATCCTCGGTACTTCACGCCATTACCACCATAACATGTGTGAACTGAAAAACAACCAATCAGTAAATAAGCACTGAAATTTACATAACATATTATTATTAAATGAAGGTATAAAATCATGTAATAAAATCATTGTGCAAATATAATTTATCACAGAAGTTTGAAAATAAAATATAACCACTATCTATAGTGTCTGACTAGGCAAAGAGTCATAGCACTGTCTACCATTTTAATTCTGATTGAATGGAAACTTTTTACAGATGTTATAATAAATATCAAATAATTTATCCCCATATTTTGCCAATATTTCATCAAGCTTTCTCATTCTACTGTTACCTAACTTTTAGTGGTGTTATTAATGACAATTTCCATATATTGTTTATAATGCATTAGCTTAAGTGTTCTTCAAATTATGGATAGTACAATGTACTTTACAAATAAAACAAATCAAGCAATTTGGATTTCAACAAGTTGCATTTTTTTTTAAACCTTTCAGCACAAACTGAATAGCTTCTATAATTAACAAAAGAATCTCTGAATTGTATGCTTCTCTTGGTAATTTCTCAGTTTCTGTGAATCATAACTCGAAGAAGTAATAAAACACAGAAATAATACTACTGTATGGATGAAACGTACCTTCTGGTCTTTGTGTAGGATCAATAGGTACATTAATACCTTTACATTTATCCCCCTCTGGGGTACCTCTTGGTGGTAAGTCATAACATTTTGGAAGGAAACCTTCCCCTAAAAACAAAAAAGTACTTCAATTACAACAAGCATTCTGAGAGTATTGCATGGCAATACATAGTCCCCTACTGGTTAAAAAATCATTTTCTACTGGAACAAAATGCTAACTTGATCTATAACTTGTCATGGTGAAAACTATATAACAAATATCAAATTAATATCTTCAAGCATGGTTAAAAAAAAGTGTGGAAAACTGATTATTGAGGACCATAACACTGCAAAAAAATCATCTGAACTAAACAAAATTCCAATTTCATCTGTAACTTGTCATGGTAAAACTGTATAGCAAATATCAAATCAATATTTTAAGTATGACGAATAAAAGTGCAGAAAACTGATTACTTGCACAAATTTTCGAAGTCCAAGGACCATAACTCTGCACAAAATCATCAGACCTGAGCAAAACTTGATCTGTAAATGGTCATGATTAAACTATATACTAAATATCAAATTAATATCTTCAAGCACTAACAAAAAAAGTGTGGAAAACTGATTTGCCGGACTGACAAATGGGATGGACAGACAGGCAGATAAGATAGACAGAGTGCAAACCTAAAGTCCCCTTCGACTTCGTCGGTAGGGGACTAAAAATGATACTACTAGTTCTGAATTATGTACAATGCATGTGCTTTTGTTTCATTTAGAAGGTCTCATTAAAACTTTAAGCTAAAAATAGTAATTAAAGTGCTGTTCTTTTGCTTTGGGTTATGTCCAGTGCTTGTAGGGATTTTGTATGGTGAGTTGATAGACCATTAGTCATCATATCCCTTGTTTTCCATTATACATGTTATTATTAAGATTTTTGGTCTCAAAATACTTCAAACTCTTCAGGAAACTGCACCTTATAACCCATGAAACATCAAACTTACCAATCATTAGATGATGTCGACCAATAATATATTCTATTTAAGATATTAACCCATGAAACATCAAACTTACCAATCATTGGATGATGTCGACCAATAACGTATTCCTGTTTACAGATATTGCCCTCAAGCATTTCACACTCATCTCTGCAGACTTTACGGGGAGTAGGGTTGATATGCTGACGATCACATAAAGGGAAGGTGTAGAAACAAAGAAACTCTATGGCATACTTCTGACATTCAGCTGACATATCACTGGAGGCAGCAATCACAGTAAAAGCAGCTAAAAAGATAGCAATCAAAGAATATGTTACTAACACGATACATTTTCAGGATTATGTCCCTTTTAACATCAATTCTTCGGTACATTCTTTTAACTACTATGACTGTATTAGCTAAATTATTATCTAAAAGCTGATTGGTATCTTAGATTAATTATGAAGCAGAAAAAAGGAAATAGGCCAATTTCCTATTGCATGACCAAAACCCAAATCAGGAAAATGTTTAAATCTTACTTAATTGTCACTGTCAATTTGCTAAAGTGATCCATAGGCAGATAAAAAACTAATGTCATTTGATTGTAAATTTAAACTTGCTTCCTGTCTGTAACTTTAGAGGACTTATTGTGAGATTTCTTCATATCTGTGATAATAAGGCACATATTTTCATAGGTTATGTCTCTACATTAAACGGAAGTGTTTGTCAAATACTATAACAATGACAAATTTTGAATCATAAAGTCTGCACTTTCTATTTTTGTAAAATCCTCAACAAAATTTTATTATGGTTAAACCTCAAATTTTCAAAATAAAGTAAAAATTGTTCATTGATCAAAGTTGAGAACATAAAAAAAGTGCCATTTAAAAAAAAAAAATGAATTTAAGAGATGAACCAGTGTGACACATTCCTAGTTTTAGACCCCAACTTTTGCCAGAAAAGCATGTATAAATTGATGAAAATAAGGAAGGAAACCCATCTTTTCCCTAAGGTACAAATCCTTGGAAAACCCTTTTTGAAAAGTGTTGAATCTGCCACCGCAAATTCATACATACCAATAAATTTTTCTTCCTTTACACCTTGAGCATACTCAGAATTGACATAAATTGTTTGATTGCCTATGAATCTGGCACACATATTTCCTCGAAATGGTTGACAGAAACCATTGCTATCATCTTTAGTACTACCGCTGCTTTCTTCTTTCAATCTGTGAAATAAAATTAGTATTAAAAAATCCTGATATCTTTCTTCTCCATGTCATTAGTAAAATCATTTTGACAGTTAGAAAAAATAATTCATTTTTTTCTTAAAAGTGTGTTGACATATTATTTTAATACTGCCACCATACCAGATTGGAACATCTATTTTACATGTTTACTTTCCTACAGCAATTATTCACTCTATTTCCTATAAATAGATAAAAAATGAATCAAGTTGCCTAAAAAATTATTTCAATACATCATAATATTATACTTTTATTCAACATTCTTCCATTACAAATATGTCTTTTCCTACCCCATTTATTAATATTTGAGAAAAATCTGTTCATAACTTCTTTGATATTGTTTTCTGTTCTAAGATATAGTTTATGTAACAATCAGATAACAGCTAGCATTTGCCTTTATGCATTTATACACAGACTAAAAAAACTAAAACACTACCACAATCTTCAACATGCTTTAGAAATAAAAATAAAAACATAAGATACAACAACTCATCAATGTGCACACAAATGTACAAAATACATGTATTTCAGTTAATTATAGGTAGTAGGCACCTGTAAAATTAGAGCAGCTTACAAATTTGAAATGTTTTTAAATTAATAGATTAAAATTGGTACATTTCTATTTTTTTTTTTCAAATTTGTGCAAATGATTATTTGTCTAAAGTCTAGAGTCCTCTTCTTTTATTTTAATATATATATCACCTTGACAAAAGGCCATGTATGTGCTACCAAATTAGTTTAGATCTGCATAAGTGTAAAGTCTTTACAGGTTAATTGTATAGTGTAAAGGTTAACTAGTGTAAGGGTTAACTAACTGAACAGTGTAAAGATTAACTGTATATTGTAAAAGGTTAACTGTATAGTGAAAAAAGGTTAACTGTATAGTGTAAAGGTTAACTGTATAGGGTCATGGTTAACTAGTGTAAATATTAACTGAATAGTGTAAAAGGTTAACTGTATAGTGAAAAAAGGTTAACTGTATAGTGTAAAGGTTAACTGTTTAGGGTAAAGGTTAACTAGTGTCAAGGTAAACTGTATAGTGTAAAGGTTAACAAGTGCCAAGGTTAACTGTATAGTGTAAAGGTCACTGTGATGTGAGATACATATAAATAAATCAACATTTCTTGTGTAATAGTTTTTATAATTCTCATGTTCTGACACTATTTGTAACAACTAGTGTCAGAACATGAGAATCATTATGCAAACTATTGTTTTGTACAAGCTTGAGGAAAATGGATGAATATTAACTTGAAGCAAACGGTTTTCTATCAAATGGTATATATTGATGAACATAAGAGCTAAGAATGAAAAGAATTGTAATATGTTCACCCTGCAATGTTTTGATTAATTTCAAAAGAACTTCTTTCTTTTGCTTTGTGTGCACTTAAATCATTGCTCTATGCTTTATGGCGATTACTGCATTATCCAGGTATAATAAAGTTCTATATCTTTATTTGTTCAAAGGAATAGTCATTGCAAGATGAAATCTTTTACATAGAATTAGTTTAAAGAAGTGGAAAGCTATTGAAGTTTAATTGGAAACACAGCAAATTCACAAAAGGCAAGTGCAAGCCATCAAAATCTATATAAACATCTGAATGACTACCGCAGAATAGCCAAAAGCAGGAAGACAATATATAGTTACAATTAAGAATTGGGATTAAATATGTGCTTCTATTTACACAGAATTCTCAGATTTTATGTACTAATTTAAAAAGATGTGGGTAGAGCTGAAAGTGCTAACCGACCCCTCTTAATTTCCAATTGAAAACTCCAATTAAACTGACAAATAGTCAGGAAAAAATAATATAAATAATAGATTTAAAATGTAAATAGAAGCCATGCAAATCCTCAATCCACTAAAATCACTACTTACTTTTTATATATTTCTGGATCATACTTCCCAGAAAATCTTTAAAGAAAATTTTCCATCTTAAAATGCAACTTAAGACATGTATTTTTGTTGGTAGTAGAGTAAACCATTTTCAGATGTTTTGGCACAAGTCTTCTTTAGATTTCTCTCTCAACTACTTCGTGAAATTGGTAGATAAGTCTTTTTTCTTACCATTTATTTCTTTTTAATTTAAACGCATTTCTTTAGAGAATTTACAAAAAAGCTTGAAATTAATACTTATATTTTAAATTAATAAAAAATAATATAGACTTTGGGCCAAGTGTGTTATAATAAATCCAAATACTGTTCAGCTTCTACAATGTGTTTGTCATACAAGAGTTAAAACAACCTTAATTCTAGAATATAAATGTTAATTAATTAACGTACCTATCTGTGTCATCTGTTAGATCTGGAAATGAATCCACATCGGTCTTTGATCCACCACCTTTGTTATCCTTTTTTGGTGCATTTTCTGTTAAAATCAAATATAATGTATATTTAGTTAAATATAAAATACAGAATTACATATTCAATTCTCAAAGAAATTTGATCAAATGTGGAAATACACTATCAGAGAGGTACAAATATTCCTTACAACTTTTTTATATCACTAATGTGTAATGATATGAATTTTATAGTAAAATTTAATATTTTATAAAAAAAAATTATAAGGATAATCTTAGAAATAAATATAATTATATGGTAAGATTTGGTGGCTTGAAGACCACAAATACGATCAGTTACAGATGTCTTGTTACAGACTAGATTTGTGATAGTTACATAAAATACAATCTAAAAACAATGTAGAGGAAAAAAACTTTTAAAAAAACCCTAACCTTTGAACCTTACTATTATAAAAAGTGTTCAGCTAATCTGTCTATACCAGCTGAATGCAGGTGAAAACAATTAAATATTTGGATATGTTTTTAAATGTTAATTTAATGCCTTCTTAACAAATAAAAAAAAATTTAGTACGACTCCATCTTAAAATTAGGCAGGTGGTGGCACTGTAAATGGAAAACTAAATTTCATTCTGAATCTCAAATACCAATCAATTTTGATAAAAGTTATGGCAATAGGATAAGACTTGCAAATACAAGACTTGGAATTAATACATGAAGCAAAATGGCTTGTTTAAATAGTGAGTGTAATAAAAAATTTCAAATACCAGAAAATAAAGCATATGTGGTATTAACCTCAATGTAAAAAACCCAACAATACAACCAAACAAATATATTGAGAAAATTTTAAAATTTAAGAACTAAAATTATATATATAAATATCTGTATGAATATTAATTCTGATTTATGTAAGTTGTAAAACAGTTGTCCCCCTTTGACCTACCATTTTTGATATGTAAATAAGCTGTAGCATTTTTTGCTCCAGCCCTATTAGCAGCTATACACATATAATAACCACTATCATGGGGTACTGATTTCTCTATCTTTAACCTGAAAAAAACATATATAAGTTGCTAACAAATGCTCTATAATTAAGCATCCTATCTAAGTTTTTGTTTGTTTTCAGAATAGCTATATACCGTTATTGTTTGTTTTTAATCCATTTTTGTACAGTGGCATGTAGTTCAGGAACAAAACAAATGACAAGTATGAAATGTACAAGAACAGTTACTGCTATCTTGCAATAAAATTGTTTACTGGTACATTTCTGCACACCAAAATCATGAACAATGAAAACTATTGCTAATTTTACATTCAAAAGATGTTAAATTTGCTGGTCTTAATTGTTAAGCTAAGAAATTTCTAAAAATCTGTGACAAGGCCAGGATTGAAGTGCAATGTGCAAAAGGTCTAAAAGACGTGTGTGTGAAGCAAATTGAAAGTTTATTAAAAGCTGTATAACAAAAGAACCAAAATTTCCATGTTTTTATTACGTTGTGGGTTAAGTGCCGGTCCTAGTTTGATTTTTCAGTATCTCTTGTAATTCTGTGTCTTATTTTGTTGATTTGTATAAAAATAAGGAGATGTGCTTTCATTGCCAATGAGACAACTATCAACCAGAGTTAAAATGAAGTGGTTGTACCCCGGGAAGCAGTTATAGCCCACTTTGTCTTTTTATCAATATTCAAATATAGCAGTGTTTATCTGAGTATTGCTTGTTTTAAATATATTTTCTGCACTGCGGCATGTAGTTCAGGAATAAAATAAATGACAAGTGTAAAATGCACGAGAACAGTTACTTCTATCTCGCCATAAAATTGTTTACATTTCTGCACACCTAAAAAGTAAACTATGAACACGGTTGCTTATTTTACATACAAAAGATGTTAAATATTGCCAACATGAACAGATTTATACCTCCTTACGACCAGATGATAGCTATCCTTCATCTAAACATATAATCCTTGTATTAACTCCATATTACTTTGACTAATTTAAAAGTATAGGCTGAAGAAGATAATACATCTGGTTTATTTTCTTACTCTTAACAAAAGTTTATTTTAACGATTTTTGTATTTATCTTAATCCACAAAATGGTTTATTTTATGTTCTCACATCACTCCTTTGTTTAAAGCATCAACAGTAAACTTAACCTTTACTTTAGAACTAGAGTTTCAATCACTCATGTTTCTATCTTCTGCAGTTTCCAAATCTTTTTAAAAATCAAATATACAATGTTGAAAGATTACAAGAAAAAACATAATTTCATTACCTTGAACCCCATGGTGTCAATTTCACATTGAATCGGTCCTCTTTATCTCCAATTTCAATGCTGTCTTTGAACCAACTGTACTTGGGTAGAGGGTTTCCTGAAATCTCACAACGGAGACGTACAATTTCACCCCTGTACTTTGTCGTATTCTTCATTTCGAAGTCTACATTCAAGGTGGGTTGTCCTCCAACTGTAAAACACACAAAGATTTAAAAAATTTTGTTACAACAGCTGTTTTCTATGTTAAATTTTTTGTTTCTGTACACGGAACTTAGATATCTTTTCAGCTTATCAAAACACCAGCTTACAAGGGTAAACATAAAATGCTAGCTGATGGTTAGAATTAGAGGAAATTACAATCAAATTAAGCAGGTCATTTGGAATGTAACAACTGAGAGGCTCAAAAGCATCTAAATTCATACCCTACACTCAAAAGTTATAGGTGGTATAGTCTCAATTCATATCCTATGTTGGATTTTAAAGATGGAAGAGTTGCAGATAATTTTCAATTGAGACACAACATGGTGTGAAAAATGATTTTTCATTGAAACACTTTGCAATCTAAACAAACAGTACATGGGAGACATGTCATCTCTAATGAGGTTACTCTTCTAGAGCCAGCCTACCATGTCTACCAATACAGACAAAGTTATCAGGCTTATCAAAGAAATAAACATTAAATGTAAAAAAAAAATCTTTTAATGTTGGAAGCTGATATTGCTCATATGTAATTACAGTGAAACCTGTGTAAATTAAACCCTGTATAAACAAGAAACCTGTCTAAACTGAACTATTGTATCAGGACATGTAACAAATGTCCTGTATTACTTAAACCTGTGTATACCAAACACCTTTCTAATTCAAACAAAATCATCAGTCAAAAAAAAGTTTGACTTTGGCTGTTTTCACTGTACTATGTACAAGATTTCATTAACAGTAAGGGAATACAATGCTGTAGGTGGTCAACTATCAATACATGTAAGAGCAGAGAAACTCTATCATTTCCAAATTAATTTCTTTGATATTATAATTTTCTACTGAAAAGTAACATTTAAAAGTTTGACAGACCAGCTGACCTTGTCAGATAGTTTATGCTTCATTTGCCAGACAATTTGATTTGAGAGTTCAATAAGGAGACCAGAAGGTGTGAAATGCCAGAGATTTACCAACTTGTAACAGGATGTTAAAAAACAGAGTACAACAAAACTGACTCAGGAGCAATGTGCATAACAGTGCTATAAACAATTGCAGCCCTGTCAAATTGGAATCTGACATCTAAATTAACCTACCCATCAAAATAAATGATGCATTCCCTTACAGAATGATAAAGCTATGCCAATGTTAATTAGGTGAACAATTCATGTTTATATAAATTAAGAGGTGTAAACACTGGCAAGATAAGATCACAGAGACCCTTAGTACAGTTCAGATTCCTCAATCTTCAAATATTTCCTTTTTTTTATTAAAAAGGGGGAGACGATATCAAGAGGGAATGAATAACAATAAGTCAAAGTGAAATTGACAACACTGTGGCAGAAGATAAACAGTCCACAAGAAACTGAAGATTGCAGAGTAACATAAACCCCATCAAAAAAAGGGGATCAACTCAGGTGTTTCGAAAGGGTCAGAAGTTCCTACTCCACTAGTTACACCTGATGTATGAAATGAATTTCAAGTGGTTTTAGAAAAAGTGAGGAGAGGATCAATGAATAGCACAAAAAAGACAATTACATGTAGGCTACTGTTTTCAAGAACAATATAGGTCACTGTATCCATACAATCACAGATTCATGTTCTGAATGAATGTACTTTCTATATCAATATCTTGTAACAGCTTGATGTAACATAGATCACATAGTAGCCATACTTGTCACTATGTATTCATCCCTAGATTATTTAACCATAATCAGATGACCATTAACTTAGTCACAGATTCCTGTTTATTGTGAACTCACAGCCAGGGCAGTATTAAACAATAGCTTTCTACAGGAAAGACATTGGATTTATTAAACAATAGCTTTCTACATGAAAGACATGGGATTTATTTTTTCAAGAAAATACGATAATAAAGACATTTGGTATTTTGAATTAAACAGTTTATATATCTTGTATGTATAAAATAGACAAAATTCGGGTGATCAGTCTGAGACAGTTTCACCAACTAAAACCTTCATAATTAACAGATCAACATTTCCCTTAGCAGCTGCATAAATAATGGAATTGAAAAAAGGTTTCTTACAAAAATCAATTAATTCCAGAATGTCAGGATTCAGGTTTCTTTATCTCTTGTAAAATGAAATTAGGAGATGTTGTGAATCATTATATGTTCAGATGTAAGATCTTTGTCTTAATCGGCATATAAATTGGCCGATGATGAGAAAAAGGATGAGATAAAAAGTGACTTCAGATGAAATGTATCAATTCCTCAGAGAATTCATTTGTTTTTTATTTTATTCTTAGTTTTGAAAAATTGCTAACATTATCATAGAATGTTTGTTTGATAAATAACTGGACTGCACTGATCTGAATACAAGGTCTAACTCAAACACTTAGTAAAACAAGTTGAAAACTATGAGGTGTGGATTCAGTCAAAGTTATTGTATTTAAATTTCACCAGTTTCACGATAATAATTTGATTTTAAGATATCCTTAAATATTTATAGAGGTCCACGATCATTTCAGGACCTCCACAATACGAATTAAGTATATCCTTAAATACAATATTTTTTTACTAATTCCGAGCCTCATAGAAAACAGTCATAGCAATACAAACAATATGCTTTCTTGGGGAATATGTCACATCAATTCTTCAAAATTAGAATGAGTCACTGATAAAAACCACAACAGGTTAACTTTAGGATTTACAAACATTTAAACAGCCAGGAAACAAATATTTCAGAGTTATCACATTAAAAAAATTATGTCCTAGGACAACCAATAGGGAGCTCTTACATTGATAGTCACATTTGTTTTCAAAACTTGACATCAAGCCACTAACTCTGCCATTTCTTACTGACTATTTCAAAAACCAACTTTGGATACAGCTCTGAATGTTCAGTGCTTGACATATTCTAGAGATAAAAGTAGGCATACATCTACATTGATCAAAATAAATGTCTGTCTGAAATGATATCTGACGTTCTTACTGACACAAGTAGTTATGCAATGTACATGTAATGAGGGTGGAGCAGTTCAAGTTTTTTTTAACCTTTGTTCTTTTTTAATTCTGAGATATTCTTATCAGTTATGACTGTCTGTAGTAATTAGTCAGTACTGAAAAAAAGAAATGAAAAAGAAGAGAAAAAAATTATGAACATACAAGAGTAAAACAGTACAATATCAAAACACCTTTTAATATAAATCAATTATGTATCAAATTTTCAATTACAGCAATAAATCAAATTGAATATTGCTTGGGACAAAAGATTAATTGGTATATAATGTGCTTTGGTAATAAAAGAATCAAGATGAAAAGTTTGTTGGGATAATATTTCTGTACAGAAGTAGATTTGAGGTAACTATGCACATATATCATCCACAAACTGTCAGGTTAGCTGATATCTGTTAACAAACTACCCTTAAATTTTGTTCTACCTAATCTTGTTGCTCCACAATTTATGATTTCCTTGAGGGCAGAAGCAAATAATAGATTTGGATTGTTTTCAATTACAATTCATAAATTCACAGCTGTTACAAAAAGATATAGCTCTTGTATGCCTTGCAAATCTACTTATGTCTTAAATCTTATAAAGTTGTTATTTTCCTATCACTTTGACTATGCTTTATTTCCCTTGTCCTGTAATAAAGGGAGGTCACTGGTAAGTAGGCAAAAAGGGAGATCACCAACGAAGAAATAAATGGAAACAAAATAAAACATGATCATGATGATCTGCACTCAAATACACAAACTAATATTTTAACCATACTGTTCTTGGATAAAAATCAACAATGTTAATTAATTTCCGCAATTATTTGTTTCATGCAAAGCCTTGGAAATTTGAGTAATACAAGAAAAGCATCAACTAAGCATTAAATAGTGTCTTGATAGGTATAGAAACTGACAACTATTGAAAATCTCAGGACTAGTTAATTAACATTATAATGAACAATCTTACATTCCAGAATGAATTGCTCTAACATGGACTTTTACACTTCATTATATCCAAACATAATCACTATCTTAATGTTCGGAAGAAGGCTTACTAAACTTTAAATTTTATCTTTATTTCTGACAGAATATATTAACTTTGATACAAAATACCAAATCTGCATCTTCTCATGTATAACCTCAATGAGTTCTGAATTCATCATCTTCTTCAACAGACAAAACCATCTGATTCTTTTCATATTCTTCAACTTTTTAAATATTCTCTACACATTTTTATCAGATATATTGTTCATTTTTTTTCTAGAAATCCATTTAAAAATGTTCAAGGATCAAATAGCAGTAAAACCAGACTTAATTAATCATCCTGGACTTATTTTTAAAAGAGAATCATATTCAGCTATCTACAGGTGTTCAGACAACAGGGTGTGGATAAGCATGTATCATGGAGTTCTGTTGTGTTGTCACATGACAATAGGTTGTAGTATAGTCATACTATAGTCATACATCATGGAGTTCTGTTGTGTTGTCACATTACAATAGTGTGTAGTATAGTCATACATCATGGAGTTATGTTGTGTTGTCACATTACAATAGGGTGTAGTACTATTATACTATAGTCATACATCATGGAGTTCTGTTGAGTTGTCACATTACTATAGGGTGTAGTATAGTCATACATGATGGAGTTCTGTTGTGTTGTCACATTACAATAGGGTGAAGTATAGTCATAAATCATGGAGTTCTGTTGTGTTGTCACATTACAATAGGGTGTAGTATAGTCATACATCATGGAGTTCTGTTGTGTTGTCATGGAACAACAGGGTGAAGTACAAGCTTGTATCATAGAGTTCAGTTGTGTTGTCACCAAATGATTGTCACTTAACATCAGGGTGTAGTATATTAAGCATGTATCATGGAGTTCTGTTGTGTTGTCACGTAACAACAGGGTGTAGTATAAGCATGTATCATGAAGTTCTGTTGTGTAACTTGTGTTGTCATGTAAAACCAGGGTGTAGTTATAGGCATATATCATGGAATTCTGATGTATTGTCATGTAACAACAGGGTGTAGTATAGGCATAT